GCTATCCCCATTTTACAGATGGAAATGTCAGGCAAGTGTATGCTCCTCGGTTCTATCTCATAACAACAAAGATTTGGAGTGACGGACATTAAAGTCCTTGGCGTGTCACAGCTCTCCGGTCTTAGACAGACCGTGTTATATAACTCTTAGACAAATCAGTGTTACAGCTCCGTGTTACAACTCTATTTTATTTAGAAAATAGCAGGAGAATCCATCCTCGAGGCGTGAGGGCATGCCAACCCAAAGACAGAAGAGAAGAGAGTGGGGGAGCACGCCAGAGTGCGGGAGAGAGAAATAGAGAGGGCCCTTTGGCTCCTCTTTTTATATATTTTTTTCCTCCCCCAGGCCTGCCCTATGTAAACTGGGCTAGCCAGGAGTGCTGTTTGTTCTACCTGAGGTCCTCACTCTGGTCCTCGGACCATCCCTTGACCTTCCTTTGTTCTATTTTCTCGGGCTTTTCCCTTCCTTGTCTTTTAGCCACCGCCATTTTGGACTCCTGTTTCCTATTCTAACTACCTAACAGAAACATTGAGCCCAGAGAAAGGAATATATTCACCCTGGTCAAGCGGTGAAGGTGTGTCTGGCCCTGTAGCCCAGTGGCCAAGGGATCTCAGAGACAAAAGAAAGAATAGGCAACTCTGATCTGTGAGCACCTATGTTGCCAGCTTCCACACTAAGAATTTCCCTTAGGATGTCTCCGGGGATTCAGTGGTTAAGACTCCGAACTTCCAATGCAGAGGGTGTGGGTAGGATCCCTGGTCCGGGAACTAAGATCCCACATGCCACAGTGTGCAACCAAATAAAATAAAAATTTTAATTTTACAAACTTAAAATATCTAATTTCCCTTGTTATTACATCATTTAATTTACATCCTGAAGTATGGATTGTGGGCCCATTTTATGGAGGAGGAAACTGAGGCCCAAAAGAGGGGTGGAAGAGGTCACAAGAGGTGAAGCCAGGATTTGAACCCAGTTCAGCACAGGAGGGCAAAGAGACTTCTGTCTTCCCCTGTCAGGTTAGGGTGGTGGGAGGGCAGGAAGGAGGCCAACAGGGGCGGGTATGGCCTCTGACTATCATCGTCACCTGGGCCCCTCTCTCTCTGAAGTCCCTGCCAAGGGGCGTGGGGAGGCGGCCAGGGGAGGACTCTGCTCAGGGCAGCCTGCCCCTCCCCCAGCCCGGAGAGCTGAGCACAGAGGGACAGAGGCCCCCAGAAATGTCGTTCCCTGGACGCAGGCCCCAGGCCCTGGCCTCCCTCTGCTTCTGCGTTCTGGTCCTGGCCTGTGTTGTGGGTGAGGAAGAGCCGGGGGTGGGGTGTGGGGACCCCACAGCAGCTGGGGTGTGAGTGTGAGCGACTGCGAGGCGTGCAGATCTGTGTGCGTGTCTGGGAGTCTGGGTCGGGGGTGGCCGTGTTTGAAAAGTGTGTGCACGGGGTTGGTACAGATGACACTGGTCATGAATTTTGCACTTGTGTCTGTGTCAGCAAAAGAGTATGCAGGAGAGGTAAACATGTGTGTGTGAACATTTGTATGCTTATGGGCACGTGTGTGTCTTTAGTGGGTATTTATGCAAAAGATTTGAGGGTTAGCGGGTGGGAGAGTGTCTGTGTGTACTGCTGTGTCTGTTTGGGTTCTGCATGTGCAGTTCTTTAAGTTTTGTGGTTTTGGCTGTGCCATGAGGTATGTGGGATCTTAGTTCCCTGACCAGGGATGGAACCCGTGCCCCCTGTATTGGAAACACAGGGTCTTAACCACTGGACAAAGCAAGGAAGTCCCTCCACACATGCATTTAAAATATCACTATGTACACAGTGCCTCTAATGTGCCTGAAACTGGTTCTCCGTGTTAACCCTGAACTCTCACAATAGCCCTATAAGCTAGGTCCTGTCCCGAGCCCATTCTACAGAAGGGGAAGCTGAGTCTTGAAGAGGTTAAGTCGTTGGCCAAGGGCACCCCACTGGTCACATGGGTGTTTCCATACATGCCTGTAAACATGTACCCGGCTGGTCTCTGTAGGTGAGGCTTTGCCCAGGTGCGGGGGTGCCAGACAGACAGGTGTTCCTGGTGGAACCCCTTGCCCACCAGCCTGACACACGGCTTTGCCAACCTCTGTCCATGGGGCCATCCCTCACTGCCCACGGAAGTCGTTCAGACTGTGTGGGTGGGGTCACAGGAGAACAGAGGAGGCAGCAAGATCAGCTAGAGAGGGAGGCATGGCGGGGCAAGGGTTACAGGCTGCGGGAGGGGACGACTGGCAGATGCAGGGCTGATGGGGGTCCCAGGCACAGCGGGTGAAAGGAGATGACCTGTGGCTGAAGGGGGCCGAGGGGTCAGAGGAACATAGAAGGCAGTGAGCGGACACCAGGAGTGACAGCGACCGCGAGCATGGAGGGAAAGCGAGAGGGACAGGCTCAGGGGTCCGGTCGTCCACGTTGTCCTCTGGTCCCACCTAGCATGCCAGCAAGAAGAGCCTGAGGGGACCCTGAGCCCCCCGCCAGGGCCAGCCAGTACTTCCCAGAGCCGGGTTCCAGGCAAGGTGAAGGAGCAAGAAGGGCCGGAGAGGACCCTGAGTCCCCCGCCAGCGCCAGCCAGGAGTTCCTGGAGCCTGGTTCCAGGCAAGGTGAAGGAGTGGGTGGAGCCGCTGGTGAACAGGACCAGAGAGAAGTGGAAGTGGTTCTGGTGTGTGCAGAAGGGGGCTGGGGGCTTGATTCTCGGGGTGGGGGGGGGGGCGGGCTAGGGGGCCTGGATCCTGGGTCTGACGGAGGAGGGTCTGTGGGAGGAGGGACTGTGCCCAAACTCCAGGATTCCCAGGAGCAGGAATCCCAGGAGCCCTGGGTGGAGCAGGGCTGTGACGCTGGGTCTGAGAAGGGTGGAGGGTTAGTGTTGAGAGCAGGGGCTCCTGGGTCAAAGGGAGGAATGGGTGAACACAGCAGAAGTCTTGGGGGCTATCTGCGGTCTCCACTGTGAATCCCCTCCTTCCAGGGGCCCCACGGCCTTCCGGGGCTTCATGGAGACCTACTACGATGACCACCTGAAGGACCTGGGCACTCGCGCCCAGGCCTGGCTCCGCAGTTCCAAGGATAGCCTCCTGAACAAGGCCCACAGTCTGTGTCCCCAGCTGCTCTGCAGGCCCAGCGACCAAAATTAAAGCGTCACACCCTCTGCAATAAACAAGTTCTGTGTGTGTCCCTGTCCCAGTCCCTCCTGGCCTCGCCAGAGATAACCCCCCATTCCCCTCCAGAGGTTAAGGGGTGGAGGAAGTGACACGTGGCAAGGGAGCAACAGGAGGTGGGGGTGGGGAGGGGAAGGACTGGGAGGCCCGGAGGGATGACCCCACCCCGCCCCCAGTGCTAGACCCACCACTGCCAGCTTACGGGGGGCAGAGGACTCCAGGCTTCTCTGTTTAGGGTGGAGGGTGAAGGCTGGAGAGCAGTTAGCAAGCCCCCCACCCCTGCCAGCCGCCCCTCCTTCAGAGCTCTACCTTCCCCTCCCACGTGATGGAGACCCCAGACCTGATGCCTGGTGGGCACCCAGAACCCCTGACCCCTCCACAGCCCCCTATTCAACCTGTCTCCCTCTCTATCCCCACGCCACCTCCCCCCAACTTTCCCCCTCCCACCCCTGCAGTCCTGTTGGCCAGGACTTTGGCCGAGGTGTCGAAGTGGGGGTGGAGGGGTGGATCTCAAGAGCTATAAAGCCTTTCTCTGCCCATTTGGAACTGCTGAGGACAGCCGCCAGAGTCTGGTAAGAGAGGGGACAGAAATGGGGAGCAGGGGACTGCAGGAATGGGCCAAGATTGTTAAATCAGAAACTGCAAAAGTCAAGATATTAGATTCCAGGGAACTCCCTGGCCGTCCACTGGTTAAGATTCCGAGCGCCCAGTGCAGGGGGCACGAGTTCGATCCCTGGTTGGGGAACAAAGATCCCACATGCTGCTTGGCTCAGCCTTAAAAAAAAAAAAACAAAAGAATTAGTTCCAGTTTTAGAATCATGGAATTTAGGGAATTTTCTGGTGGTCCAGTGGTTAGGACTGGGCACCTTCATAGCTGGGGGCCTGGGTTCTGTGCCGGGTGTGAGAACTTAAATCTTGCGAGCTGAGCACGTGGCATGCTGGGGTTTAAAAAAAAAGAGAAGAAGAATCATGGAATTTAAAAACTGAAGAATGTCTGTGTGTGCTGATCCTCCTCCTGTCAGATGTCAACCTCCACGTCGCAGTCTCCGAAATGTGGAGGGTGATGTGATGGGTGGAGGGTGATGTGATGGACTGAGCCCTGTGTCCCCGAGAGTGACTCCCTCCCAGGGCTGGGATCAAGATGACTTTGAAATGTGGGTAGAGCAGGGCCCAGAGCAGAGGAAACTCACTCATCCAAGTGGTGGTTCTTAACCCAGACTGTGGCACGTGGCCTTGTACTGACTGGGTCTTAACATAAATGCCACTCCACTGCTGAGGATTTCCGGGGCTACACAGCACACCCTCTGCATTCCAGAGCACTTATCTGAGGGAGACAGGCGCTATACTTCATTCATTTGATGTTTGCTGCTTGCATTTCTCTCTCATGTTGGCTTCCTGAGGGCAAGGGCCACTGTGTTCACGGCTGGGCCCAGAACTGAGCCTGGCACACAGTAGGTGAAGAAACGCTTCTTGAATGAATGAGTGTTAGAATTAAGATGTTGCAGGGAATTCTCTGGCTGTCCGGTGGTTAGGACTTGGTGCTTTTACTGCCGGGCCTGGGTTCAGTCCCTAGTCGGGGAACTAAGACCCCACAAGCCATGTAGCACAACGGAAAAAAAAAAAAAAGAATTAAGATGTTACAATGAGCAAGCAGGAGTAGCATCATAGAATATTAGGAAGTGAGGCTCAAGTCATTAGGAACTTGACTCAGGCAGGGAGGAAGGGGAGAGGGGGTCCTAGGCCAGTGTCCCTGAGGCCCGGAGACCCCAGGACCAGATGCCTCCCATGGCCCTGCCCCTAGCCGCCTCAGTGTTCCAGGTCTCCTGACGCCATGGGCACAAGATACTTCCTGGTCGGGTTTCTCATCCTCCTGGTGTTGAGGTTTGGTGAGTGGGGTTGAGTGGGGTCGGAAGGGGAGGTGGGGATGCCAGGAGGGGGAGGAGCCCCGAGCATCCTCCTGGTCCGTTTTTGTCCCGCCCTGCCCCCTGCCCATCCCTCTCCTTCCCCCTTTTACTCTCCTCCTGCAGCAGGCCCCTCAGCTCCCCTAACGCACTCTCCTCCTGCAGGGGCCCAAGGGGCCCATGTTCCCCAGCAAGACGAGGCCTCCAGCCCTGCCCTGCTCACCCAGGTGCAGGAGTCCCTCTTAGGTTACTGGGATACAGCCAAGGCAGCTGCCCACAAGCTGTACAAGAAGACATACCTGCCCACCGTGGATGAGAAAATCAGGTATCACCCGCCTCCCACCCACACCCCCGGAGCCCAGAGTCCCAGACCCCAGCCCCTTCTCCCTCACACTCAGGAGTCCAGGTTCCAACCTGTTATCTCTCAAGGCCCAGGTATCTCAGCTCCCAATACCTAGCTCTGGGATTCTGGGATCCCATCCCTGTCCTACTTAGGGATCCACAGCTTTGGGTTCTAGTCACCTTTTCCAACAGGACCCGTGATTCTGGGCCCCCAGCCTCTCCTCCCCCAGACCCAGGAGTCCAGACGCCCAGCCACCCATCCCTCAGACCCAGGAGTCCAGACCCCCAGCCCCTCCTCCCTCAGTCCTTCTGTCTTTTCTCCCCAGGGACATATATAGCAAAAGCACGGCCGCTGTGACCACCTATGCAGGGATTATCACTGACCAGGTCTTTTCTATGCTGTCAGGAGAAGATTGACAGCTGGGCCCCCAATCACGGGGGAGTCCAGGCTCCAGCAGCCCCCTGGGTCCCCTGATCTACACCCCTCCCCACTTCCTTGCAACTCTCAGCATCCTGTTCCAAATTCTAGCCTGACTTATCAATAATAATAATAAAGCCAAGTTTATTCTTTTTGATATCGTCACTTTTCTGAGACCTCAGGGTCCACGATGGAGGAGCTGATGCCTGCCAGCCAACACTTATTGATCACCTATTCCATGTATATCTCCCTAACCTGGTCAGTGAGAATAAAGAGGTGAATAATAATAATGAATAATCATAACAACAATAATTAGAGACTGACCTTCACCGAGGTCTGGCTTTCTCATCCATTTTTTTGGTCATGCCATGTGGCACGTGGAATCTAGTTCCCTGACCAGGGATCGAACCTGTGCCACCTGCTGTGGAAGCACAGAGCCTGAACCAGTGGACCAACAGGGAAGTCCTAGATTTCTCATTTGTAAAATGATAAATGAATCAGTTCAGTTCAGTCGCTCAGTCACATCTGACTCTGCGACTCCATGGACTGCAGCACACCAGGCCTCCCTGTCCACTGCCAACTCCTGGAGTTTACTCAAACTCACATCCATTGAGTCGGTGATGCCATCCAACCATCTCATCCTCTGTCATCTCCTTCTCCTCCTGCCTTCAATCTTTCCCAGCATCAGGTAAATGAATACAGCTTACTTACAGTGGCCTCTGACTGTGTCTGGGGCCTGGACTGACACTTTTAAAAAATTAATTTAGTTTTAAGTGAAGGATAATTACTTTGCAATATTGTGTTGGTTTCTGCCATTCATCAACATGAATCACTGGGCTGACAATTTAATTAATTAATTAATTTATTTATTTTTAGTTCTACCAGTTTATTGCTACCAACCCATCTCCCTCCACCCTCGTGCACACATGTTCAGTCATGTAATCCCATGGACTTCAGCCTGCCAGACTCCTCTGTCCTTGGATTTTTCCAGGCAAGAATACTGGAGTGGGTTGCCATTTCCTTCTCCTGGTCTGACACTTTAAATATGCCATCGCAGAGAGGTGTTCAATGGCGCTGTGGCAGAGGGGAGAGTGGTGCCCACGAGTCATTGCTGAGTGTGGGAAGGCAGTGCCCAGGTTGGGCTGGGACCCAAGAGGGCAGATCTGTAACAGCTGTGTTCTGTGCCAGTTCCTATACATTTGCCCCACCCCCGGTCATGTATTTATTGAGACACAACCAGGCGCTGGAGACACAGCAGGGAAAAAGACAGCCCTGCCTTCATCAGTTCAGTTTAGTCGTTCAGTCGTGTTCAACTCTTTGCAACCCCATGATCTGCAGCATGCCAGGCTTACCTGTCCATCACCAACTCCCAGAGCTTGCTCAAATTCATACCCAACTTGGTGATGCCATCCAACCATCTCATCCTCTGCCGTCCCCTTCTTCTCCTGCCTTCAATCTTTTCCCAGTATTAGGGACTTTTCTTTGCATCAGGTGGCCAAAATATTGGAGTTTCAGCTTCAGCATCAGTCCTTCCAATGAATATTCAGGACTGACTTCCTTTAGGATTGACTAGTTTGATCTCCTTGCCTTCACATGGCCCCTTAAAAAGGTACTGATTGGGTCCTGACCCAGCTTCATACGGTTTTACTGATTACAGCTTGGTAGTAAGCTTTTTTAGCTCTTCTTACTAGCAATAGTAATAATGTTTCCTGAGCTCCTATTCAGGACCAGAAGCTCTGTTCCACCCTGAGCCACAAATAGAGAGGCTGAGGGGGTGGGGCGGGAGGCAGAGAGGACCCATGGAGAAGATAACTTCAGACAGCAATGCAGGTGATGAAAAGGTGAAGAAGTGAGGAAAGAGTTCAAGAGCTGGGTGCAGCCACCTTGGATAGGGGTCACAGGGAGCGTCCTCTAAAGGACACAGCTGGGCTGGTCACAGGGTATGTGGAGTCACAACGAAGTGTGGTAAGGACAATTGCTGATGGAAAGTAGGGGGAGGGGAGGGGAGTATCCACTTGGCTCCCAGCTCTGAGAGGATGGAAGAGGGTATCTGGGCAGTGGGGAATTACCAGCCCAAAGCACAGGGGGTGAATTAAGAGCAGAGGGCCTGCAGTCTGAGGGAGGATAGTGCTGGGGCCCATGGGCGGAGGGGGTGAGGGGCCCGGACTCCTGCATCTGGAAGGAGTAGAGAGTGGGTCCTGTGCCCCCAAGTCCCATGGGTCAGGCTACTGGCCTCTGAGGATGCAGGGCCTGTAGTCTGCTAACAGACTTGACATTAACTTCCGGCCAGCCCTTTCAGCTCTCTTGGGGCAGTTTTCCCAGTCCTGGGGCTGGGCAGCTGTGAGTCCAGCAGAAAACAGGGGCCCAGGGGTTGTGGGAAATGCCCCCACAGTCCCCAGGGCCTGGGAAGAACTGAAGCTGCCAAGCCCAGTGGGTGATGGGGCGGGGGGGACCCTGGATGAACAATCCCTGCTCTGTCCACTTGATTCCCACAGACTCAAGCCAAACCAAACCACTGCCCAGGCTAGTTCTGCTTCCAACCAATCCTGCAGTACTTCCCAGACTCCTCCTTCCTTTCTCAGGCACCCACCCCCCAGCCCATTCCCTTCAGGACCCCAGGAGTTGAGGCCCCCAAACTCCTCCTCTCCCAGAATTCAGGACCCTCAATCCATTCTCCTTGGGGACCCAGAAGTTCAGGTCCCCAGCCCCCTTAGAAGCTGAAATCTTAGCCTCCGGTTGGTGTCGGGCGTCCCCTAGTGGAGCACAGAATGGGTCTGATCGGTGATTCATTTAACAGGAATGGAAGTATTTACTTGGTCATTCAGTGGACATGGGGGAGGGCTTTACAAGAACCCCATCTGAGGTCGCAGTGTGGCTCAGAGCCCCTGGTGTTGCAACAGATCAGGACTCTGCAGTATATGAGGATGTTGGGGCGTCTAGTGCTAAAAGCAGAGATGGGGTAACAGTGAAACTGGAGAAGATGAAGCTTCAAGGCCCCTCACTTGCCTGGGCTTTCTTTGGTCCTCTATTTAAACTTGTACACATGATTTTGCACTTTTAAAAAAAGAAGTTCACAGGTACTTCCCTGGTGGCCCGGTGGTTAAGAATTTGTCTTCCAACGCAGGGGACATGCATTCAATTGCTGGTGGGGGAACTAAGATCCCACATGCCTCAGGGCAACTAAGCCCATGCGCCACAAACTAGAGAGAAGCCCGTGCCACAGTGAAGATCCCATAATTTTAAGACTCATAATTTTTTTTAAAAGCCCACAAAATCTCCATCTGCCCATCTTCTGGGAGACTTCATCAGTATACTCATTCCATCTCTAGACTTGAAGACTAGGCCTCCGGTTTCACAGAATCGTTACTATCGTTAGTATCTGTACTAGAAGGGGACAAGGCAAGAAGTTTTCTAAGGTTTCTCCTTCTCCTTGTGTAGGTTCACAGAGGTAAGTCATTCACCTTCTGCACTCAAGAGTTTCATCCTTTCACTCAGCAGTCATGCCCTGGGACAGAGCTGAAAACCACATGACCATGCGGTGACCATGACCAAGACACACCCATCTCTGTCAGTGATGACACAAAGTGGGCAGGGACGGGGTGGGGAGTCCAGGGATCCAGGAGGTCTGGGAGGCCGTGCCCTGCCCAGTCTGGGAGCTCAGGAGGGTTTCCTGGAGGACAGATAATACTTTAGAGCTGAGGCCTCGAGGAAAGTGGAGCATGTAGTTAGCAAAATGTTAAATAAATATTTAAAATATCTCAATGCAAAGCCTGCTCTCCTTTCCAGACCATATGTAAAGTTCATAACCACAGTGCTTGATACTGATCACTAAGGCCCACACTAAGTGAGGACGGGGGCCAGGTGCTTTACATTCTTTTGCAGAGGGAAAAAACGAAGCCCAGAGATAGGTCACTTGTCCACAATCATTTAGCCGCTCCGCAGCACAGCTAGGGTTTGAACCCAGGTCAGACTTCCACCCAATTCACTGGTGAAGGTTTCACAACTGCTAAGTCTTCTGTCCTCTCTGGGCCTCTATTACTCCTTCCTTGGGCCAAGGGTCTCTCAACACGTATCCGGAACTGTAGCAAGTTATTGAAAAAGCATGGAGCTCTTTGAGCCCTTGAAGTGGAGTCCACAGCGGCAGGCTTCACTGAAATGCAAAGACCACGAGGGCTGCGTGCCTGCGCATTAAACTAGGCAGCCCAAGGCTTAGGGAGGGGCCGAGAGGGTCCAGTTAGGAAGTGTGGTGGCATGAGGATGCTGAAATAGTAACTAAACACAAAGGGCTATAACCTAGGGAGACTTGTCAGAGGAAAAGAAGAGAGATCAGAAAGCGAGGCCATCGACCAAGGGTCCTGTTCTCCGAGTCTTGGGTTCGGAGGCCAGGACAGTTCCTTTAACGCAGGAGAGGGGTGGTTCAAGCGGAGAGGTTCTATGCCTTTACCGTGGCTGGGAAAGCTCATGAAAGTTGAAATGAAAAGGATTTAAAGAATCCGCGGGGCTGAGCGGACAGAATGACCCAGGAGGCTCACACAACTGAAAGGGGCGGGGTTACGTGAGAGGGGCAGAAAGAAGGGAGGCTGTGGCAAGCGTACCTGTTCACCAAGAAAGTCCTGGGAGCTCGGGGCACGCAAGGTGTCTACTGTTTGCTGTTGTTTAGGCTATTTCAAATCCTTAAAGGTGATGCTGTGAAAGTGCTGCACTCAATATGTCAGCAAATTTGGAAAACAGAAGTGGCCACAGGACTGGAAAAGGTCACTTTTCATTCCAATCCCAAAGAAAGGCAATGCCAAAGAATGCTCAAATTACCGCACAATTGCACTCATCTCACACACTAGTAAAGTAATGCTCAAAATTCTCCAAGCCAGGCTTCAGCAATACGTGAACCGTGAACTTCCAGATGTTCAAGCTGGTTTTAGAAAGGGCAGAGGAACCAGAGATCAAATTGCCAACATCTGCTGGATCATTGAAAAAGGAAGAGAGTTCCAAAAAAAATCTATTTCTGCTTTATTGACTATGCCAAAACCTTTGACTGTGTGGATCACAATAAACTGTGGAAAATTCTGAAAGAGATGGTAATACCAGACCACCTGACCTGCCTCTTGAGAAACCTGTATGCAGGTCAGGAAGCAACAGTTAGGACTGTACATGGAACAACAGACTGGTTCCAAATAGGAAAAGGAGTACATCAAGGCTGTATATTGTCACCCTGCTTATTTAACTTAAATGCAGAGTACATCATGAGAAACGCTGGGCTGGATGAGGCACAAGCTGGAATCAAGATTGCCGGGAGAAATATCAGTAACCTCAGATATGCAGATGACACCACCCTTATGGCAGAAAGTGAAGAAGTACTAAAGAGCCTCTTGATGAAAGTGAAAGAGAGTGAAAAAGTTGGCTTAAAGCTCAACATTCAGAAAACTAAGATCATGGCATCCAGTCCCATCACTTCATGGCAAATAGATGGAGAAACAGAGGAAACAGTGAGAGACATTTTTGGGGGGAGGGCCTCCAAAATCACTGCAGATGGTGATTGCAGCCATGAAATTAAAAGACGCTTACTCCTTGGAAGGAAAGTTATGACCAACCTAGACAGCATATTAAAAAGCAGAGACATTACTTTGTCAACAAAGGTCCGTTTAGTCAAGGCTATGGTTTTTCCAGTAGTCATATATGGTTGCGAGAGCTGGACTATGAAGAAAGCTGAGCGCTGAAGAATTGATGCTTTTGGAGAAGACTCTTGAGAATCCCCTGGGCTGCAAGGAGATTCAACCAGTCCATCCTAAAGGAGATCAGTCCTGGGTGTTCATTGGAAGGACTGATGTTGAAGCTGGAACTCCAATACTTTGGCCACCTGATGCGAAGAGCTGACTCGTTTGAAAAGACCCTGATGCTGGGAAAGATTAAGGTCAGTAGGAGAAGAGGACGACAGAAGATGAGATGGTTGGATGGCATCACCGACTCAACGGACATGAGTTTGGGTAGGCTCCGGGAGTTGGTGTTAGACAGGGAGACCTTGCGTGCTGCGGTTCATGGGGTCGCAAAGAGTCGGTCACGACTGAGCGACTGAACTGAACTGAGTCGCTAAGTGGTGTCTGACTCTTCGCGACCCCATGAACTGTATAGCCCGCCAGGTTTCTCTACCCACGGGATTTCCCAGGCAAGAAAACTGGAACAGGTTGCCATTTCCTTCTCCAGGGGAATCTTCCCTACCCAGGGATCGAACCCGGGTCTCCTACTTGGCAGGCGGACTCTTCACCACTGAGCCACCTGCGAAGCCCGAGGGTATCTACTAGGTGGACAAACGCGGCAAGACTAGAGTACGGTGGCGCGATTGGCCCTTTCATAGCCGGAAGAGGCTCCCGAGAGGCGTGGCTGAGGCGCTCTTGAGGGATAGATACGGTGGCCGGCGGGTCGGGCAAACGTGAAATCTCGCGCGATCGCGCTGGAGCCGTCCGGGACGGGGCGGTCCTGGCGGCGGGGGCGGGGACCCGGAGCGGGAAGATGGCGGCGGCGCAGGAGGCGGACGGGGCTGGCAGTGCCGTAGTGGCGGCCGGGGGAGGCAGCTCCGGTCAGGTACGGAGGCCGAGAGGGGCCTGAGGGGTTCTTCCCCACCCGGGGGGCCTCCCACGGGGCGTGTCCTGCCTCTTTTCACATAATCCTGTGCTCTGAGGGGTCCTTGCCCAGAGGGACCTTGAATACCGGGCCCAGGCGGGGCCGGGCAGCCTGGGAGGCCGGACAGTGCGGGGAGCGGGGCCCTGTTGCGCGCCGGGTCCCCTGCATACTCGCGCCGGGAGGCCACCAGGCTCACTGCTCGAGCCGAGGAGACAGGGGCGCGGAGGGGCGCAGACTTGTACCCAGGCTCCCTGGGTTCTCGACTCCGCGGTTCCAGGCTCCCGGATCGTTCCTAGAGTGGGCTGGCGTTCACGGCATGCTCTAGGTGTGGGCAGTGATTGATTATTTTGGAGTTTTCTAACTCTGGGAAAGTCAGGTAATCATCGTGGTGAAAGGCACGCGCTGTGGAGACCGACAGACCCATTTTACAGACAGGAATCCAAGGAACAGACTAAGGCGCTTACAGAAGGTCACCTAGGTTAGGTTTGGGATCTGTTCCCTGTAAAACTTACCGGCCGTTGCTGAAACAGGGTTGTCGAGACTGAGATGGGTTTACTTTCAGCGTACATGAGTCCTATGGGGAAATTAATCCTGGCACTGATTCTTGACCCATTGCCACTTCAGCTAAACAGGCTGTAGAACATAGTAGTTAGGGCAGCCACCCTTCAGATGTTTAGGGAGTCGATGCAGTGACAGCGGAGGTTCTGTCGTCCCACCCACTGGGATGTCACTGACATGTGGGAGGCAGAACAGGAGAGAGGAGCACAGGTTGTGAGAAGAGAACAGATCTGAAGCTGACTCTGGGTGTGACCTTGGGCAAGTTCCTTTCCCCCCTCATTTCTCCAGTGGTAAATGGAGGGGTTGGGCAGGAGGACCAGCCCTGTGAGAGCCCTGCTCTCTCTTCTCCTAGCCACGAGGGTGTCTCTAACCATGTCCCTTCATCAGTGGAGTGAGAGAGAAGACAGGAGTATAAAGAAGTATAATCCTGGAGTGACAAAGGTGGTGACCAAAAAAATCCATGTCAGGGACTGAGGGAGCCCAGAGGAGGGGCAAATAATATCACCTGGGGAGGACACTAGGGTGAGATTTGTATGACAGAGCCAACCTTCCTGGTCTGGATCTTTTCAGCATCTTCAACCGGGGCCTGGCCCCAAGAGTAGTCCTAGGAAATGTTTGTCCCTGTCTTCAGGGGCTTCCCAGTCTCACTGAAAGAAGGCCTTTCCCTCTCGTGAGTTTCTGTTGATTATTGCCTGGGGGGTGTTCAGAGAGACTCAGGCTCAGTTCGCCCTGATTGCCCTGAGCTTACAGAAACCCACCCCTACTCCACCCCCCGCAAGATGTCTTGTCCGACTTCTATCCAGAGTCTTTCAAGATTTATCCCTTTGCTTTCAGGATTAAATACAAATTCTTTGGCAGACCGAGGCGTAGCGTGATCTGCCTTTTTTCCCCTCAGGCTCGACTAGGATTTCTCAGCTTCAGCACTGTTGGCATTTGGGGTTGGACAGTTCTTCGTGGTAGGTGCTGTCCTGTGTGTTGTGTGATGTTTAGCAGCATCACTGGCCTCTACACATTGGATGTCAGTAACACACAAGTCCGTCCCCCCTTGTGACAACCAAAAACATCTCCAGGTGTTGCTAAATGTCCCCTGGAGGGAGTGGCAGCGGGGGGGAGGCAAAATTGTCCCTGCCTGAGTCCCTGGACAAGCTCTTACTGTGAAACGAGGCACACGCCTCGCTCTGTCTTCTCCTAGCCTTTGCACAGGTTTCTCCCAGCCTTTGCACAGGTTTCTCCCGTCTTTACCTGACGGATCCTTATTAGTCCTGGATATCTCAGGTGTTCTCTCCCCGAGGAGCCTCTCTGACCCTCTCACACTGGGTCGGGGCTCCCACTGTCTCTGGGCTGCCTAGTGCCAGCCCTGTCCACCCTGGGTTGTCACTGTCTCCTCCTGTGGACTGGGAGCCCCTGGAGGGCGGAATGGAACTGCCTGGGTCAGCGCTGTGTCCCCAGCACCGCCCCACTCAGGAGTGGGCACGGAGCAGGCGCTCGGCACCTGTGGGATGAATGGGTCTTGAGGCAGAGGCCAGGCTGAGGTGGAATTCCCAGTGTAGATCCAGGCAGTCAGAGGATGCCCCGAGTTCCCCCGAGCCCCAGCCCCGTCTCAGGGCCTCCGCTGCTTCCTGGGGCCCTTCGTGGGTGCTCTGGGGATGGTGTGAGACTGGGCACGCGGATCCTAGAGCCAGAACTATGTCTTAGTCACTGCTGTGCCCTCAGCCTCCGCTGCCGCCCTCGCCTGGCCCCTGGGCGGGCCCTTAGCGATCTCCTGCTCCAGCCAGCCTGCCCCTCCTTCAGCCAGGGCCTCAGACACCAGCCCACAGCTCTAATAATCATCCCTTCAGCTGATGTGGGTTGAGTCCCCACTGCCTGTTAGTCCCCATGCTGATACTGGGAATAGGCTGTGAACAAACAGAGGCTGTGCACTCTGGGAGCCCAAGTATTTGTTGAGGACTGGGGGGTGGGGTGGAGTCAGGGACAGGGACAGTGAATAAGAGAAATAAGAAAGTATATCCAGATAAGAACATATATAAGAAAAACATACAGCGGCTCAGGTGGTGGTAAGTGCCGTGGCCAGAACTAAAGCTGGGGAGGAACATAGGAAGTGAGGGTTAGGTAAGAGGGTTGTAACTTAAATACAGTGGTCTGGGAAGGGCTTTCTGAGGAGGTGACGTTTGAACAAGGATCTACCGGAGATAAGGGAGGGAGTCACACAGACAGTGGGGGAAAGCCCTTCAGGTGAAGAGAACAGCCAGTGCAAAGGCCCTGAGGCACAATAGGCCTTGGGTGATGAGGGAACAGTGGGGAGGCTGACCTGTCTGGAGCAAGTGACAGGGGAGGCAGGTGAGAGCAGACAGGCATGGAGGATCGTGCCAGGCCCCAGAGGGCCACGGTGACCGCTTTGCCTTTACTGTGAGAGGAGTGGGAGCCGCGAGCAGGTTACCTTTTTACTAAGGTGTAATTTAGACACCTGTGGTCAGTGTGGAATTCAGAAGCTTTCTGTACCTTTCTGCAGTTGTGCAATGCAGCCACTGCCCCAGTGTGGTCTGAGAATGTTCCCAGCCTCTTAAGAATGCTCCCTGGTTCCCTTCTGCATGTTCTCTGCCCCAGCGGTGGTCCTTTTTTTACGGCTCAGTAGTATTCCATTGTGCCGATCCAGCACAGGTCACTCATCAAAAGACTCGTTTGTGGGTTGCTTCTGGCTTTATGTGTAACACTGCTATGAACATTTGCATGTAAGCTTTTGTATGGACCCGTGTTCTGAATTCTCTTGGGCAGAGACCTCCGAGTGGGATTGCTGACTTGGTTGGCGGGGGCACACTTAGCTTTTAAGTATCTGCCGTATTTTCCAAAGCAGCAGCTCTGTGTCCCCACCAGCAGCGTACAGCTCTTCAGTTTCTCCACATCCTCACCAGCACTTGTGCTTGTCCCTCTTTCTGATTACAGCCCTCCTAGTGATTTGGTTTCTCTTTGCATTTCCCTGGGAGGGTTTCCAGGCCAGCTTGTCCACCATCATGGGTAAGATAACAGACCTGGGAGCCAGCTGGGTGCTAAGGTGCTCGGTGTCTGACTCTTTGCAGCCCCAGGGCTCCTCTGTCCATGGGATTTTCCGGGAAAGAACACTAGAATGGGTTGCCATTTGCTACTCCAGGGGATCGTCCCAACCCCAGGATTGAACCTGTGTCTCTTGTGTCTCCTGCACTGGCAGGTGGGTTTTTTACCACTAGCGTCACCTGGGAAGCCAGCCAGACATGGGTTCAAATCCTTGCCTGACTTCAGCCTTCCTTTTCTTGACCCGGAATCAGCTCAGACCTGCTGGAAAACCTTGCCCCCTTTCCCCAACCCCTACCCTGTGTTGCCAGGAGCAAGGCTAGCCCTGAACTCTGCACGATGCCTCTTTGACCTCGCCCGCACCTTGACCAAGGCTTTACCCACACCTTTTCTCTCCCTCAGATGCCCTTCACCCAAACGTCAAAGACAGCTTCTCAGGAGGCCTCCCCAACTACCCAGCCACCCCTTTGTCATCACCCCCTCTGCTTGTTTCCTCCGGAACACATCCCCGTTTACCATTGTTAATTATCCTGTTTACTTTTCTGCCGGCATGCTTCCCTCTAGACCCCAAGCTCCGGGAGGGCAGGGCCCAGAGCTGTGTGGCCAGCACTGACCCCACCACCCAGCACTAGGCCTGGTACTTGGGAGGTAACTTCTTTTGACATGTGAAGGAAATCTTTTCTGCCCTAAATGTATGGTATTATCACAGCCTGGCCCTTGGTCAGAGAGGTGAAGTGTCAGTGAGGTGAAGTGTCAGTGAGGGGAAGCGACACGCCCAAGATCTCACAGCCGGGAACTGTGGGACCAGACTGCAGCCTGGGTCTCTTGGACTCCAGAGCCTCCACCTTTGACCCCAGTGCTGGGTGCTGCCCCCCACTTCTGGGAGGTGAAAGGAGAGCACTCTCTGGTGAAGGGGCCCAGAAATGACAAGTGATGCACTTAACAAACACTGGCCTCGGCTTCGTGGCAGCCTCATCTGGCTGTGGGGGCCTCTGTCTTCCGCTCTTGGGGGCATTTGCAGCTGACTGAAGGCAGAGGAGCAGGTTTGGGGCGGGAGGGAGAGAACTGGGGGCGCCCATGAACAGGTAGACTTGAGCAGCTTGGGTGTTCAGGGCAGGCCTTTGAGGCAGCATTTGTTGATTCTCCAGGTGTTTATTGAGCCCCTGCTCTCTGCCAGTGCTGGGCAGGGCAGTGCTCCCACCTAAAAGCGATCATGACCATCCTGGTCCTGTTCTTAAAAGCTGGGGGGTGAAGGGACAGCTGTCGGGAGGGAATAGGGCAGGACAGGGGAGCCAGCAGGTGCAAAGAGGGGGGCAGGAAGAATTTCCCTATCTCAGGCCCTTCCACTCTGACATGACATTCTCTGCTTCTGAGCTTCTCTGTCTTTATTTCTGTTTTAAAAAACTTACTTAGTTTTGGTGGTGCCAGGTCTTGGGTTGCTACGTGCAGGCTTTCTCCAGTTGTGATGAGTAGGGGCTGCTCTTCAGTTGCGATGTGAGGGCATCTCATTGTAGTGGCCTCTCTTGTTGCGGAGCTCGAGCTCTAGGGCACTCAGGCTTTAGTTGCTCCTGGGCATGTGGCATCTTCCAGGATCAGGGATCGAACCGGTGTCCCTTGCATTGCAAGGCGGATTCTTAACCACTGGAACACCAGGGAAGCCCCTGAGCTTCTGTTTCTGAGTGAAGACTCTGTCTTTGGGCAGCCCTGCCTGACTCCCTGGCCTGCCCACACCCCTGTCATCCTGCCGTCATCCTTCCTGAGTGACCCAGACACGTGGTGGCTTAGGCTTCCCGAGCTTCGTTTGCCTGACTGCCAGGTGGAGATGTTGCTAGTTCCGACCTCACAGGTGGTCTGAGCCATGTCCAGGTCATGCACGTCCGCCTGTTTCACGCTCCAGTTGTGGTTGTGTTTCTCTGTGTCTGTCTCACTTGCTGGACCCAGAGCCCTTGGAGGGAGGGGGCCCCCCACAGGGCTGGCCACAGAGGAGGATGGTGACTTGTTTGCATAGGGAAGGACCTTTCCGATAAACGCCAGCCTTGCACAATCTGACACCTGCCACGTGACCTTTTCTGCACTGTCCCCGGTGGGCACCTCGAATCCTGGGAGCATGCTGGCCCCCGGGGCACTGGCCCGTCCTCAGAGTCAGTTCTCTCATGTTCACGTATCCACCTGCTGCTTCCCTCATTGCCTCCCCTGCGCCGGCTGACTGGTTGTAATTTAGGGCTCGGCTCTGGCGTCCCCTCCTCCAGGACTGCTCCCTGACCCCCAGACTGGGCCTCGCGCCCCCTCTGTGCTCCGGCCTTGCTGGGCCTCAGCACGTGGTGGTGCCTACAACAGCCTTGGTGTGTCAGGATGCGTCCTACATCCTCACTCTGGCCTCTGTCCCCGCAGGTGACCAGCAATGGCAGCGTTGGGAGGGACCCGCCTCCAGAGACCCAGCCCCAGAACCCACCGCCCCAGCCAGCCCCCAACGCCTGGCAGGTCATCAAGGGTGTGCTGTTCAGGTGAGCAGATGCGGCTTTGGTGTTGTTCACTGACAAAAGGTCAAATAAGGAAAGCATAAAGAGGGAGTCCTCTGGCAGTCCAGTGGTTTAGGACTCTGTGCTTCTGCTGCCAGGGGTGAGAGTTCAGTCCCTGGTCAGGGAACTAAGATCCCGCAAGCCTTGTGGTACAACCAAACAAACAAAATTTTAAAAAAGAGGAAAGAATCACTGAGAATGACCATCATCACTGTATTGATGGAGACCCTTTCTGTTTTTTCATAATTCTGGAGGCTGAAGTCTTGAGATTGAGGTGTCAGGCTGTCTCGTCTCCTCTGAGGCCTCTCTCCTTGGCTCGTAGCTGGCTGTCTTCCTGTGCCTTCACCAGGGCTTTCCTCTGCCTGTGTGTCTGTGTCCTAATCTGCCCTTCGTATGTGGGCAGCAGTCTTGTGGGATTAGGGCCCACCCTGAGTAATGACCTCACTCAGCCTTAATCACCTCTTCAAAGGCCCCGTCTGCCCATACTGTCACTGAGATACTGAGGGCTAGGACTGCAGCACGTGAATATGGGGTGGGGTGGGGTGGGGTCGGGACACAATTCAGCCACAACATTTGCATTACATAAAATTTACCATTTTAACTTTTTTTTTTCTGGCCGCACCGCAAGGCACATGGGATCTTAGTTCCCCGACCGGGGATGGAACCCATGCTCCCTGCATTGGAAACCCAGAGTGGTAACCACTGGACTGCCAGGGAGGTCCCATTTAACTATCCTTACATGTACCATTCAGTGGCATTTGGTGTATTGATACTGTGGTGCAACCATCAGACCATCTATCTGCAGAACTTTGTCATCTTCCCCAAACTGAAACTCTGTGGGCTTCCCAGGTGGCTCAGTGGCATAGAATCCGTCTGCCAGTGCAGGAGATGCAAGAGACGTGGGTTTGTGGCTCAGACAGTAAAAGCAATGTAGGAGACCCAGGTTTGATCTCTGGGTTGGGAAGATCCCCCAGAGAAGGAAATGGCAACCCACTTCAGTACTCTTGCTTGGAAGATTCCATGGATGGAGGAACCTCATAGGCTACAGTCCATGGGATTGCAAAGAGTCGGACACGACTGAGTGATTTCACTTTCACTTTCTTTTCCAGTAGTCTTGCCTGGAAAATTTCTTCCCATGGAGGAGCCAGCGGGCTACAGTCCCTGGGGTCACAAGAGTCGGACACGACTGAGCACACCCACCCCCACTGAAACTCTCTACCCATTAAACACTGACTCCTCATTTCCCCCTCACCTGCTTCAGTCCCTAGCCGCCACCGTTCTACAGTACCTTCTGATTCTATGAATTTGACTGCTCTGGGTACCTCCTGGAGTCGTACAGGCCATCCTTTCGAAACTGGCTGGTGGGCATCCTTTTACCTGTGGATTCACATGACCGTTCCCAGGTGCCAGGAGAACAGGACCTGCCTTCTGGAAGCCCAACTTCTGACCAAACCCTGGGGAGCCTCTGGAAGGGCGTGGGAGGTGGTGGGGGGGGGGAGGAATCTCCCTGGGTGTGTTTCTTCATCCGTGGAGCCCCTCCCTTCTCTTCCCCATTCACTCCCTCCTGTCCCCTTGCCCCCATGTCCAGTAGCAACTCTATGGACCATAGCCTGCAAAGCTTCTCTGTCCATGGGATTTTCCAGGCAAGAATACTGGAGTCGGTTGCCATTCCCTTCTCCAGGGAATCTTCCCAACCCAGGGATTGAACCCACGTCTCTTACATCTCCTCTATTGGCAGGCGGGTTCTTTACCACTAGTGCCAACTGGGAAGCCCAGTAAGAGAGTTAGAATCTTCTTATATATCAGTTTCTTCTTTGCATGCTTCAGGCAGCTAGGAATAAGGATTATTTTTATCTTTCCCTTCATTTTTACATAAGAGGTAGCCTATTTTACACAGTTTTGCACCTTGATTTTTCTCATTAACAATATACCTCAGAAACCTCTCCACATCAGTACATAAGAGAGCTTCCTTCAGATAGGCGTTCTTCATACAGACACCGTGTAGGCTTATTTCCTTCCTTAGAACCAGGCAGCACCAAGAAGCAGTCCCCGTGGCTGCCCGGGGACCTTCTCCATCCGGAGTTCTTAGATGGGCTTCAGGCTTTGTGCTCAGGGGCCTGTGAACTCTCTGAAGCATCAAGCAGATTGTGAGAGTGGCCTTTTTGGGGAGGAGAGGGTAGAGTCCACGGGTTTCAGCGCCTCCTGCAACTATACCAGTGGTTACCTGGAGTTGGGGGTGGGATGGGAGGGCGATTTCATACGCTTTTTTATATACTTAGAGTTTTTCTGTGAATGTATTGATAGACTGCCTGCTTGAGGTGGGAGGGAAGTCTCTTTTATTGCTCACTCCAGTAAGTTGAGAAGCAGTAGGTGAGGCCAGCCCTGGTATCCTCGGGCAGGGCCTCCTAGTCTGGGAGGCGGGGGTGGTGGGCTGCATCTGAGAGGGCCCGCGATGAGCAGATGGTACACACTGGAGGGAACTGGGGATCTGGAATCCTGCAGAAAGTTTGGTCCAGCCTGCCACGTCTTACACCCAGGGGCCCAGGAGCCCAGAGTGGGTGGGCCCCCTGCAGGCCACGCACTAAGTCAGGGCAGAGCTGCCTGTGGATGTCCTTGCTCCCACACTCTCTCTTGGCATATTTACTAAAATAAGAGCCTCTCTTGGAAGTGGAGGGGGTCCCTGGAGATCACCAGCGTCAGACCTTCCCCAGCTGTGTGCATCGGGGACCTCCTGGGGCAGCAGCGGATGGCTCACCTGAGCCGTGGCCCCTGAGACACAGGGCTGTGTGCCTTGTACAGGCAGAGGCGAGTCCCTGAGCCTGATCCTGCCCTTCGGTGTGGTTTGGGGCTCAGCAGGGAGGTACCCACGCACACTAGAATTCCCTTGTAGTGTTTTTCACTACAGTTTAGAGTTTGTTGTATGCCTTTTTTCATATGAAAGTAACGGTAATAGCTGACACATCTAAAGCATTTACTGTCGGTACCAGGCTCCATTCTAGATGATGTGTATATCGTGTGTGTGTGCATGTATATATCAATGCATCTAATGCTTATAAGCAACCCTATGTGGTAGGTAGTACTGTTGTCCCCATTTTAACTGTTGAGGAAATGGAGGCCTGGAGAGGTTGAGTCCTGCCTGAAGTCGCACAGTCAGGAAGTAGCAGAGCTGGACTTTGATGCAGATATTGCAGCTTAGAGGCTGAGCACTTAACCTCACTGCTACAGAGTTGAACAACGTGGGGATCAGGGGTGCCTACGCTGTGTATCCACACATAGCTTAGAGTTGGCCTTCTGTGCTAGCGACTCCTCCATATTTGTGGTTCCACATCCACAGGTTCAACCATCCATGGATTGTGTAGTACTATAGTATTTACTACTGAAAAAGATTTGTGTGTTCAAACCCTTGTTGTTCAAGGGGCAACTATATGGCTTTTCACACCTGTGATCAATAAGTCCTTGGCTCATTTAGTAATTACAGAGCTGCATGTATATGAGAGCCCTGAATTAACACAATAGAATTTTCCCTCTGTCTCATGTACTGTTCTGGACTTAGACAGACCACGGTTCTGCAGTGTTCTGCATCCCAGATTCCTTCCTGCTCTTTGTTCATTCCTGGAGTTTGCCTTTTATCCTCATGGCCTAAAACAGCTGCTGAGGATGCAGCCATCATGTCCACATTTCAGGAGGGAAGAAGAAATAAAGGAGGGATGCTCTGTCTCTTTAAGATAACTTGAATAACATACTGTTTTTACATTTTACTGGCCAGGACTTCACCATGTGTCTACACCTAGCTGAAATGCTAGACTTGTAGTCTTTATTCCAGGTAGCCAAGAGGTCCAGTTAAAATTTAGGAGTTTTCTTTCTGATGGAGAAGGGGAAGATGAATATTGGGAGAAAACTAGCAGTTTGCTATAGTTTTATTGTGGGGTTTTTTATTTTGTTCATTAAAAAATATTCAAAAAGCAAAAAAAAAAAAAAAATTCAAAAAGCAAAGTGTAAAGAAGAAAATAAAAATCACCTAACAGTCGCCAGCATTCGTCATTACTATGTTGGTGGTGATCCTTTTGCTGCGTGGGCTTTTCTCTAGTTGCAGCGAGCCGGGGCTGCTGCTCATTGCAGTGCACAGGCTTTTCATTGTGATGGGTTCTCTTGTTGCAGAGCATGGGCTCTGGGGCTTGCTGGCTTTGGTACTTGCAGTTCCTGGGCTTTAGAGCACAGGTTTATTAGTTGTGGCATACGGAGTTAGCTGTTCCTCGGCATGTGGGATCTTCCCGGACCAGAGATGGAACCGATGATTCCTGCATTGGCAGGCGGAGTCTTTACCACTGAGCCACCAGGGAAGCCTCTGCGCAGAGTATTTTTAAAGACAGTATTGTGTTTTGAGGCATTTTGTGCTGTTTTTGCTTACCCCAGGTCTTCCCTATTCCCCCAAAGCAGGGGGTCCGTTTTAAAGTTGATTTGTGCTTTATGCCTGTCTCTGCTTTTATGATGGTATAAAGGTGAATTACAGATTGTTGGGATTTTTTGTTTCTTTTTATTGCAGCAAAAAATGTATATAACATAAAATTTACCATTTTAACCATTTTTAGGGGTACAGTTCTATGGTGTTAAGTACATTCACATTACTGTGCAGCCATCATTGCCAAACTTCTCCAAAACTCTTTCATCGTCCCCATCTGAAACTGTCCCCATTAAACACCAACTTCCATTTCTCTTTCCTCCAGTTCAGATTTTCTGTGGGGTTTTTAAAGTATATTACACAATATGGATGAATAACTCTATATATTTTCTTTCCCCTTGCCTTTCTCTTTTAAAAGTGTATCCTGTAAATACCTCTGCTTCATTTTCAACTCAAAGATTGTATATTATGTTTATTCAATTTTGTAAATTGAGAAAATGATTCTAATATATTTGTTTTAACTAAGAAAAAAAGAATATGTGTACACAACTATACTTTAATAAAAATGAATAAAGAATATATATTTCATGTATTATGTATAAAAGTTACATGTAAGAATATAGAGAATATATTGCTGTATTAAGACTTGTAATTATATATATAAGACTAGTGTGATGTTTTCTTACTATATATGTATATTTTTTTTGGCCATGAAACGAGGCTTGTAGGGTCTTAGATCCCCTACCAGGGATTGAACCCACACCCTCAGCAGTGAAAGCACAGAGTCCTAACCACTGGACTGCCAGGGAATTCCCTACATAACTCCTCCAACTAGTTTCCAACAAGAAAGTTGGTCTGCGTAACCTAGCCCAATGTTACTAAAAATAGGGACTCACGATTCCTTACTATCCGCTCGTCCAGTTTTCAGTTGACTTGAAGCTCTGAGATGTTACTCACCCTAATGTCTGTGCCTCCAAAATGCTGGGATTCCAGATTCCAGGGTTCTCACACTTTGGGATTCCAGGGGACTGGGACCCAGGGTTTCCTAGTTCTGAGGTTTCGAGGGTCTGAGTCCCTGCGGCCTGTGGCTACCAGACTCCCAATGGGAGTCAGCGCCAGGACCCCCACGCTGGCAGACACAAGCATCTGGGGTCTGTCTCTAGGCATGGCCTTTGGGGGCATCTGGTCTCCTCAGCAGCCCTGCAGCTGCCTTCTCAGGGACCCCCTCCCTGATCAGGCCCCCAGTCAGGCCCCAGCAGGTGCCGAGTCCGGTCAGGAGTAGCCACACTGGGAAGAAGAGGACTCACCATCTGCCCTGCTTGCTTCCTCAGGATCTTCATCATCTGGGCCATCAGCAGCTGGTTCCGCCGAGGGCCGGCCCCTCAGGACCAGGCAGGCCCCGGAGGAGCCCCTCGCGTCGCCAGCCGCAACCTGTTCCCCAAAGACACTTTAATGGTAACTGCCGGCTGGGAGGCCAGACCCGGGAGTGGAAGGGGTGGGGTAGGGAGGGGGAATGACACAGGCAGTCAGGTCTGTGAACAGGTCTGGGGTCAAAAGACTCTGGGTTCATCTTCAGCCTATGAAACCTGAGTCACTCAAGTGACATTACGAGGAACAAAGAAATTCTTTGGGGTTTGGGCTGGTGTTCTCTCTGGGGAAGAGGGACATCGTGCAGGAGCAGCAGGTGTTCTGACCTCAACAATCTTGGCTTCTCCCACGTTTGTGGTTCTCCAGAGCTCTAGGGTGCCAGATTTCTCTGAATTCTGGCCAGCAGGGTTACCGCTGTTGAGCTGGTCCTTATCAGAGGCCTTCCAGGTTCTGGAGAGAGAAGGCCACGGGGACGTGAGAAGGGAGGGGATTCCGATGCCGCCTCTGCAGCGGCCCTGGGTTCTCAGTAGCCGGCCGACACTCCTGCACACCTTGACTGGGCTTTATCCATTGAAATTCTGATGAAGAAGCACAAGAGAGGCTGAGAGGGAACATAATGCAGGGGGGTTTGTATCCTTTCTAGCCCTAAATTCTAATTGGCAGACTGGCCATTGTTAAGCTTCAAGGTTGATCCCTTGATTGGGAAGATTCCCCTGTAGAAGGAAATGGCAACCCACTCCAGTATTCTTGCCTGGGAAATCCCATGGACAGAGGGGCCTGGTGGGCCACAGTCCCTGGAGTTGCAAAGAGTCGGACACGACTGAGCACACACACCTTCCTTCTTAGACGTCATAGGCTCAGACCAGGACAGATGTGGTGGGCTATGAGGAAAGAGACTTATTCTAGCAGCTGCCACACTTTTCCCCACTAACCCTCCACACCCCAAATTGTTCATGTTACTGTGATGACAGCTACTCACCTGCTCTTTTATCTGTCAACCTTCAGAGGCTCCTATGAGCAGCCCTGGCTCACTCCCCTCCGCTTCCCCTCCCGACAGAACCTGCACGTGTACATCTCCGAGCACGAGCACTTTACAGACTTCAACGCCACGTCGGCGCTCTTCTGGGAGCAGCAAGACCTCGTGTACGGCGACTGGACTAGTGGCGAGAACTCAGATGGCTGCTATGAGCACTTTGCTGAGCTCGACATTCCACAGGTGGGGACGGCTTCTGGGGACGGCTCCACGGCTGCCCAGCCAGCACCCAGGGCGTTTCCTTGAACCAGCTCCCAGGCCTGCAGTCGGGAGTCTGGGTTCCAAGCCTGGCTCTGCCCTCAGTTCACATGCTGTTGAGCACACGTTGACCCCAAGGTGTCTGGGCCTCGTTCCCTCCACTTCTCCAGGCAGATGGAGTTGGAATTGGCCTCCCACTTGCTTTCAGGGTTGTGATCTGTGGTTTAAACCAGTGAAAGATGAGTAATCGTCCCTGGAGGTGTCTAGTCAGGCAGCCTGGTTTGAAAAATACAGTTAGTGTTGATTAAGTGCTCACTGCATACTGGGCACCAGACTAGGCTGACTGGGGGGTGCCTCCCAAGGCAGTGGGAGCTTTTCTTTCTGTTTGACTAATGAGGAAGATTGGGTACAGAGAGGCCACACCCAGGGTCACACAGCCAGGGACGGTTTTGAACTCAGGCTGTCTGACTGTGAACTCTACAACAGCCCCAGGTTCCGATCCCACCTCCTCCAGGAAGCTCTCCCTGACATCAGGCTCAGGCAGAGCCCTCTCTGGGCTCCCCCACCCAAGCCTTGCCAACTCTGGGTGGAGGGGGGAGGTGGTCACTACCCAAATATGGATCTCTTTCCCCATAGGACTATGAACCCTGTGATGGTAAGGCTGGGACCATCTTGGTCACCGCTGTATCCCCAGCTCTGCTTGGCAGTGGACTGGGTGCAGAGTCCGTGACTGCTGAAGCATCAGTGAATGTGATGGCCCTGTGAATGTCGACATGTCTCTGGGGCTGCCCTCGTTCATATCTCCCCATCAGGTGTCCTCAGCTTCCTGGGGAGGAGGGGGTGTGGGCACTGTGTCTGGCTCTGTCTTGGTCTGTCTGGTAGCTGGAGGCGGTGGGGCGGATGCAGGCCTTCCGAGGCAGGTACGACAGCCCCGGCTGTGGGAGGGGCGACTCCCACGGAGACTTCACGTCCAGCCCCTTGACCCCTCCCCAAGATCCCAGGAGGGCTGCGGGGTAGGAAGCCAGGCAGTGAAGACTGCTCCCAAGGACTTGGGGCTCACCCTCCTTCCCAGCTTTGTGGCAGGAGGGTGTCCAAGTTGTCCCTGATGTTGATTTAGGGAGGTGACTGAGCAGCGATACAGAGAGGCCAGTGCCATTGGAAGAAGAATTTACTACTTACATTTCCCAGGAGGAGGGGGCCCACCACACCGTGCAGGGCCATGTGCGAAAGTGCCGGGTTTGGGTAGGAGCACTTCGAAGGGGCAAGGGGAGGCCTTGGCTGAAACCTCTATTGAGGTTTCCTCGGGACGGGCAGGCCAGGTGGGGAAACAGCTTAGGACTGGACAGCTTGGTCACTGTGTAGGCTCTGGGCTGGAGCGGTGGTCTCTGGTTGTCTGATGCCTGCCCTGGGTGATTGAGTGCAGCCTGGGCTATGAGAGTTGGGTAAAGGGCTCGTTGTGGGTATGGACTTGGGCTTCTTGGTTTGCATTTTAAAGGTGTCTTCGAAGATAGGCGAATTATTTATTATTTCCAGGAATCAGCTAGCCCTGGGAGGAGCAGTCTCTCCCCCGCCAGGTGTGAAAACAGCATAAAATATAAAAAACATAAAAAATAAAAAGAAATAAAAAACGTGGTTAGCACAGAGGTGGGCTTAAAAGACGGAAGTTGAGGACATAGTGCGGCCGAGTGACTCCCAGCTCCCCACTGAAGGTCAGACAGAGGCTCCAGCGAGGCCTTGGCCACCCACAGGCAGGCGGCCCCCTGCTTCAGTTTGCTCATCTGTGCTGGGGGGAGGGTGGGCAGGGAGGGCGGATGAGACCAGCAGTGGAGGACCCAGGGAGGACACAGACGGTGAGAGTCAGGGCCCTGGGGGAGCCCACAGACTGGGTTCGGATCCACTCACTTACTGCCTGTAGTCCCTCGACGTGAGCCTCAGTCACCACGTCTGGAAAAGGGGATAATAACATGCCCCACTGCCTCAGGTTTACGTGCGTTGTGTGGATGTGGACTCGCCAGATCGGGCAGTTGCCATTCGAAGTGCTCAGAGCAGGGTCTGACCTTCATTATTACACCATTTAATGAATGCAAGCCCCTGGTGTTTATTGAGTGCCTCCTCTGGGGTCGAGTGGCTGTGCCCAGTGACCTCGGGTACTCCTTACGGGCCTGCTGTGCCCTCCATGCTGACCATCTGTGTCCTGCAAGTGGGCCCTGGGGCACAGCGAGGCCACACAGCTATTGCATGCTGGAGCCCGGTTTTGAATTGGAGTCTAACTGCAGTGTCTGGCCCTCAACCCCTCAGCTACACTGCCCACCCTGAGCACTCAAAAATGGGAGTGGGGGTGGACATCACTAGGGGCTTCAGTTTCCTTGTCCCTGTGCACTCACCTTGCAGAGTGTCCAGCAGAATGGCTCCATCTACATCCACGTCTACTTCACCAAGAGTGGCTTCCACCCAGACCCTCGGCAAAAGGCGCTGTACCGCCGGCTCGCCACAGTCCACATGTCTCGGAGTAAGTTCCTGCCCGCCCTGGGGCCCGGCCACTGTGGCCGGACTCGAATCCCACGTATCCTACTTGTCTCTGGACACCCATGGACAGGCAGGAGGAGAATCTGCTGAGAGCAGGTGGAGAAAGAACCTTTGGAGGGGGAGGAGTTGGTGTTCGCAGAAGGGGAGGGCGGGGCCAGCGGTGCACAGTGCCGGGCCTGGTAGACCAGAGGATCCAGAGTAGTCTGTGGGTAAATGCTAGCTGAATTGAATGAGCAGAGGGAAACCGGAAGGCCCTTGGCCATCAGTTTCATCCAGTGTGATCTCCGATATCCATGTCAGCTGCTCCTGGAATGAGTGCTGCACTGTGGGCATCTGGGGCCTCCCTTGGGGTCGGGCGAGCCTTCCGGGCTGCGGGTTTGGGTGCATCCTACTTGGCTGTACTCTGAGCTTCTGTCCCCCCGCACCCACCAACACACACCTCTGAGCGGGGCCTCTCTTGATGAGGCAGGCTGGTGGGGGCCATGTCACCAGACTGGCCCCACTCTCAGCCTTGCTGGCCGTCCGCCTAGTGCCGGGTGCACCCCCCAAGAATCTTGATCTGGTGAGCAAACCCCAGGACAGCCAGTGACCCCAAGAAGCCCCAGGTCAGAACTGTGGCCATTTACACAGCCTTGTACTGAAACTGAGCTTCTCTCTGCCCAGGACTTAAAATTTTTTTTGTTTTAAATCTCTTGTTATGAGCACATGGTTTAAAACTCAAGTAAATTCAACCAGACAGCAAAACTCATCTGTCTCCTGCCCACCCCCTCTCAGGTTCCCCCAGTTTCCACTCCCCACTGGCAGCTGCTTTAGCGGTTTCTGCTCCTTAATCTCCAAGGCTCCCAGTAACAAGGCGATGCTGCAGTTTTTGGGTTTTTCTGTTCTAGACATTGTCTCTTGACTTCCTACTCTGGAAGAGGAAATCTCAACTCAGGAACATAATTTGATTAGATTCAAATTCAACATTCAAATGATCTTGAGTTTGTGGCTCTTCCTCTCGTCTAAACCACACAGTGTATGTGTTTATTTTCCCCTTCCTATTCTAACTTCTTTTCCATGAGGTTAATAATTATTGGCATTTTTTCATCTGCTCTTTTGTCCTTGAGTCCACTGTCTTCTAATGGGCAGGCAGGGGACTCTCTCAACACACTTGAGTTTCAGCAGATCTAGAGAACAGACCCCCTGCCTCCCACCCCCCCAAAGCCCCCATCCCCTTCATGTAAATGCTGTGTGCCGCACCTCGCTTTGATTCTGTTGTGCCTGTGGACTTGGTTAAGATCCCTCCAGCTGTTTTGTGTGGGACAGCGACAAATGCACTTTAATTTTCGTGGTTAAGTCTTTCCCTACTTCTTTGGGTATAAAAATAACCCAAAGGATGAGAATATTTTTGTGATCATCTACACTGGATGAAACAAAAAACTAGTGACTGTCAGTTCTCATGGCTGAGTCGGAAAAGTCCCTGGGGTGTGCTGAGCACTGTTCTAACTAAGCAAGTGTGTCTGTGGACCATGTTCTGCAGGGTGTTCTACCCGGCTGGCTGGCAGGCTTCAGTGGAGTGCATCCTCGAAGATGTGGGCTGAGGGGATGTGGTCTGCAGCGCCCCCCCCCAAAAAAAAGGTGTCCCTGCAAGTCTGGGTCACACGTGCCTGATGCCTGAGAGGTTACCTCGAACGTGACCCAGGTGGGCAGCTGCCCACCTGTCCAGTTATCCCCCATCAGCCCTACTCAGTGCCAGCATCCTTTGTGGTTTCGCCTTTGGTGAATGTGATCTGTGTCACTGTGTGGCCAGGTCATGTTCACGGTCAGTGTGACAGATACTGGCGTGCTCTACAAAATAGAATCTGCAGCCTGTGAACCTGAGAAACCACCGGGGTCACCCAGGCTTTTCTCACAGCTGGGCCCTCTTAGAGCAGGGGCTTGGAGGGACATGCCAGCCCACTCCAGGGCATAGAACAAGACTGTGGGATCAGAAAAGCCCCCTCCCCAAAGGACCAGCGATCAGGACTCTAGCAGAGTGCTGTCCCATAGAGATACAGTGCCTGCCACAGAGGTCATTTTATGTTATCTAGTGCCCATGTTAAAAAAAAAAGATGAAAAAATGATTGTTAGTAATAATTTTATTGAGGTCAGTGTGTTGTCATTTCAGCATGTGATCAGTATAAGAAATTAACAGGATGTTTTAGTCTTCTTTTTCCTGTGCTCCGTTTCAAAGTCCAGTGTGTGTTATGCTCTCATAACACATCTCCATTTCAGCGAGCCCCATTTTTGGTGCTCAGGGTGTAGTTCTAGAAGCTTTAACTCCTAAAAAGCGGAGCTCCTTTCACCCTTCGGAAGCCAGTTCCATCTCATGTCATAATCCCATCTGATGCCACCAAATTGCAGAACATTCTCCACCTGAGTGGAGAAGCCGCTCTCCTCTGGGGCTGGTCCCTCCCTTCCCCGGACAGCCTCCCTCCCCCAGGTGTGGAGATCAGTGGAGCATGTCCCCCTGGATTCATTCTCCAAGTTGTCCACCCTTGGGTGTTTCCTGCTTTCCCCCAACAAGTGGGGCCTAGGTCTCAAATGCCTTCCCCATTAGTAATAATAGAAGTGCTGGGATGATATTTATGGGGACGATAGGAGCAGCTGTTCCTGGGCTGAGACCCTCGGTCAATTGCCACAAAAAGAGTTTTTGAGCGTGAGCTTGTCCATAGTCTCCAGAAGCCCCCAGTTCTGAGTGGGTGGGAGGAATCTGGCCCCCGTGGTGTGTGTCAGTGTGACTGTGCCGGGATGCTCCGCTTGGCTGGGCTCTGTAGAACAGAGAGCCCTCTCCCAGTGCTCCTGCCCAGAAAAGGTGAGGCTTTTATCCCCATTGTCAAGAGCGGGGACCGAGGCCCAAGGAGGTGACATAGCTTACCAATGGCCTCCAGCTCGTGGGAGACAGAGCCAAGGTGTGACCCCAGGGGCCCCCTCTCTTGGCTAGCTCCCTCTCCCAATTCCCCATCTCTCCCTAGCCCCTGAGGGCAGGATGAAGTCTCAGACGGGCCGTATGAGGTCCCAGCATAAGGAGGAGCTGAACAGTTACCCAACTGGGGTGGAGGCGGGGCGACAGAGTGTAAACAAGCGGCAGCCCTGTCTGCCTGGCGTGTTTTGGCAGGGTTGGGGGCAGGGTGGCAGGGAGCCCATGGCTGACCTGGCATCCGCAGGAGGAAGTGAGGTCCATTCCTGCCCAGGGACTCAGCCCCACAGTACTTTCCATGTTGGTGGCGCTCGGCCTTCTCCAGTGCTGTCGTGCCCACCTGTTTACATCTGTCAATCCCGCTGCTCGTCACCATGGGCCCAGCCTAGAGTGGGGGATATACCAGGGCCCAGGAGGGCCGAACCCCACCTGCAGTTCGTAGACTGGTTGAGGGGACAGACAGCAGACAAGTAAACCAGTGCACAGGTGACCAGTGGGTGGTGATGGGCTGTTGTGAAGGAAACAGAAATGGCAAGGAGCAGGCCTAGGCAGCCTCCTTCAGTGCAGGGGGGCAGAGGGCCACATAACCAGGGGCTGGAAGAGGGAGAAGGAGCCAGCCAGGAAGATTCGCACCCTGCTGGGTCCTTGCCAGGGAGACGTAGCCGCTCATCCAAAGGCCCAGGAGCAGCACATCTGCGGAGAAGGCAGTGGGGTGGGCTGAGGCAAGGGGGCTGAGGCGAGCCTCTCAGGGGCCTTGCCCAGGGCAGTGGGAGCCCTCTAGGGTTCTGAGGCAGAAGGATGATGCAATTGGATACTTGGTTACAAAGAATCTGGCTTTTCTGGGCAGAGGGCATCTTAGGGGGCAAGAGCGGGCATCGGGAGGCCAGCACTGAGGTGACTCTGGTCACCCGGAGGGGGTACTGTGGCTGGTGCGGAGGGGGGCCCAGAGGGGAGGCAGGAGTCAGGTGTTTGGCATGTGCTGGAGGACACGTCCATCCAGGGTGGGCTGATGGAACAGATGTGGCAAATTGTGGAGAGGGAAGACTGGGGACAGTTTGGTGGATGCTACTGTGGCCGTAGAGATGGGGACCCTGAGGCTAGGCGAGATGTGGAAGGCAGTGCAGGCTCTCTGTTGCTGCTATTGTCCGGTGGCGGGTGGAAGAGTGGGGACCGGGAGCCAGGTGAGCAGCCGTTGGTGGGCGGGGGTCTGGGGCCTGGGTCCCATGAGTGCCAGCCCATCTCAACATCCACCCCTTTTCCTGGCCTCCCTGCCTGCAGTGATCAACAAATACAAGCGCCGACGGTTTCAGAAAACCAAGAACCTGTTGACAGGAGAGACAGAAGCTGACCCAGAAATGATCAAGGTAAACACGAGCAGAGCCATCGAGTCCTGGGGGTGCCGTCCAGACCCGGGTTCCCAGCTTAGCAGGCCTCCCAGGGGAGTCATCTCCTGCACCACCCCTGAGCCACTGGGGGAGGCTTTATGTCTCCGAGCCTCAGTTTCCCTCACTGTAAGCAGAGTCAGGATGTAGTTAGCTCTCAGGGAGTTGGGGGGTGCTCCAGGTGTGGTTCCAGCTGACCTCTGGCAGTGGCGGGGCGGGCGCTCTGTGCACTGTACACAGACCCACCCAGAAGCCTCTCACCAGCCCGTTGGGTGGGTCCCGGCACAGGCAGACTTGCCTGAAGTGTCACAGCCAGGAGATGGCAGGGTTGGGATTCATACCCAAGTTGCCAGGCCCAGGGTCGGCCTGGCACAGAGGAGGTACTGGCTGATACTGTGGCTCTGGAAAGAACACTACCCGTCAGTCCAGGAATGTGAACCTCTTGTGACCCCAAAAGTTTCCCTCTCCACAAGGTGGCTCCGGGTGGGAGGGTGGTCCCTGAGTACAGAGACTGCACTCCACAGCCTGGTACGCCATCCCATCCAGGTGGGCAGACCTGAGTGTTCTGCTCCAGCAGGTGGCTGGGGACAGCCAGGGCGGTGGGGTCTAGAGGCTGGCCAGTGGCCAGTGGTCGCTGTGGTGGTTGCTCTTTTGCCGTCGAAATGGTCATGGGAGTCCTCCGGAGGAAGCGAGCAGCTGCCTCTGAGGCCCCCCAACCCGTCTTCCCTCAGAGGGCCGAGGACTACGGGCCTGTGGAGGTGATCTCCCACTGGCACCCCAACATCACCATCAACATCGTGGATGATCACACGCCATGGGTGAAGGGCAGTGTGCCGCCTCCCCTGGACCAGTGTGAGTCCCGCCCCGCTCAGGCTCCTGGCGGGCCATTTCCTCATCTGGCCCCATCCCCCGACCCCTCTACTCCTGTCATCTCCAACTAGGTGTCCCCCCTCCCAAGCTTCCCGCCCCACCCTCTAGACACACCCCTTTCTCTCCCTCCTGCACCTCCTCGTGACCCCAGTGCTGACCACCGTGTGCCCAAACCGGTCTCATCTGGCCTACGAGCTTTCTTCAGAAGGTGTGCACTGTTGCCACCCTTGGAAATGGAGGCAGCATCACTTACGAAGCCAGATTTCTGACTCTTTTACAAAATCCTGACACGCAGTGGCCCTCGGGGCAGCTGGAATCTGGAGCTGAGCTGCACCTGTCCCTCCAGCCGGGGCCTGCCCAGGCTGCCCTTAGCCTCCTCTCCCCGAGGTCATGCAGTCTTTCAATTCTTGGTACAGCCCAGAAATGTCCCCTGTCCTCCAGTCTCTGTCGGGGGGGTCCCATTGGGTCCCCTTTGTCCTCAGAGGCCATAATCACCGCACCCCTGTGGGTTCCTGTGGCCTCTGGCACAGGCTGAATGGTGCCCCGACCCCTCGTGCCTACAGATGTGAAGTTCGACGCCGTGAGCGGTGACTACTACCCCATCATCTACTTCAACGACTACTGGAACCTGCAGAAGGACTACTACCCCATCAACGAGAGCCTGGCCAGCCTGCCGCTTCGTGTCTCCTTCTGCCCGCTGTCGCTCTGGCGCTGGCAGCTCTACGCCGCCCAGAGCGCCAAGTCGCCATGGAACTTCCTGGGTGACGAGCTGTATGAGCAGTCAGACGAGGAGCAGGACTCGGTGAAGGTGCGGCAGCGGGTGGGGCCTTCCCGGGCTGCAGGAGGGGAAGGGGAAGTGGACCGCGCTGCTGGCCTGGGGGCTGCTGGCCGGTGCTCTCCTGCCCACAGTTTCACAACCTCCCAGGGCCCCTCCCCGTGAGGGGCAGGAAGCAGGCACTCGGCCTCTGGCCCTGGCTAACGCTGGGGGTCCTGCCTCTGTGGCTTCCCTGGCTGTCCTTGCCGTGGCTTTTCTGTTTGCCGGGCCAGCCCTCTGGGTCTAGACCTGCCCCTTCTGCCCCATGGCCTGCCGCCCGGCCTTTGGGCTCCGACTCGAGGTCTCTGCTCACTCTCCCTGTGTCCTTGAGCAGCATCCTTCTCTGCCCGCCTCTGGCATGTTGGGTCTTGGCCGCACTTGCCTGGGGCCGTCTCTGGTGTTGGGTTTCTGTCCCTCGCTCCGACTGTCCCTGCATATCTCTCAGTTATTACTCTGCCTGCCCCCATCGCTGTCCCCCCACCTCTCCTCTGTCCCCATTTTTCCCCCCCTCACCCACCCACTCTGTGCCCATCTGCCCATTTCTGACCTGCTCTCCTGGAAGCCCCGGGGTCAGGTCTGTGGGAATATCATCAGGCTCTTTTGGGGCCAGAGGAAGGAGAGGCGGGCCGGCTAACAAGGAGTCGCGGCGGTCAGCCTCGCCCGGGGCCTGGCGGTGTTCACGGCCATCTCCCCACCCCTGCCCCAGGTTGCCCTCCTGGAGACCAACCCCTACCTGCTGGCGCTCACCATCATTGTGTCCATCGTCCACAGTGTCTTTGAGTTCCTGGCCTTCAAGAATGGTAGGGGTGGGCCCCAGGGCCCTGTGAGAGGCCATGGGGGACTGGGGGCACTGGGGTGCGTGTGGGAGGGTAGGGTGCACTCACTCCCTCTTCGTCTCGGGCCCTCTCCCCGCGTGGGGCCCGCCAGCCCCACTCTCCAGAGGCCTAGGGAGCGGCCACCAACTCCCAGCCCAGAAACTCCCGGCCGCCGGGTGTGGCGCAGGGGGAGGGGCAGGCCTGCTGTTCTGGCAGAGGTCTGGTCGGCACCTCCAGGAAGCAGGGCCGGGGAACTCCAAGGCTGGGAGCAGGGAAGCCCCACAGCTGCTCCCACCGCCCTGCCCGGCAGGCTACCCGTTGGGGGAGACCCCTCGGGGGTAGCGGACAGGGCCCACCTGAGTGGGAAGGTGACAGCCGTGTCCCCAGAGGGCCCCAAGGTGCTAGAGGCCAACAGGGGTGATGGCCAGTGTTTGAGGGGCCCTGGCCACCTGCCAGGCACTGTGCGGGCACCCTCGCCAGTGAGCCTATGGAAGCCCCGCAGCCAGAGCCTGGAGGCAGCATCATTACCCCACGTTTACGGATCAGAGAGGTTGGTTACTTGCCCACAGTCACACAGCTCCCAAGCAGCCCAGCCAGGACTTGGATCCGGGAGCCCGCTCCAGCTCCTGCTTCATACTCCTGGCCCTCTGCAGCTTCTAAAAGTGGCAGTAGTAATGAGCACTATTAATATTATCATCATTATTATTAAGAGGGTATGGATGTGATTGAGTTACCTTCTGGAAAACTGTACCATCAAAACCCAACAGTAAGTAGTGCTGACCCAGCAGGGAGGAGTCTGTTAGCCGAGGTGGGTGCCAGTTCAGGCACCAGCTTGCGGACGCTCCTGACTGCGAGCAGGGTCCCTCGGGGTCCCTCTTTCCCTAAGCAGGAAGGAAGGCATAGGGGAGGTAGTCGCTTGCCCAGGGTCACAGAGCAAGTGTGTGGGCCCTGGGCCAGCTGGCTTTACACCCCGTGCTTGCTGCCTCTCTGGTCTGAAGCAGAACTCAAATCCACGCACCCCCGCTAGAAAGAACCCCGTCTTCAGATGCGTTCTCCCTAGTTAGCATCAGGTGGGGGAGGTCCTGTGAGGGTCCCCTTCAGACCTCAGGGTCTGATGGTCTAACAAGAGAGGGATGAGCCTGCTGAGTGTGTTGCGGCTCTGGTCAGAATCAGAGCCGGGCGGGCAGCCAGCACTCAGGCCGTGCCCGTGTGACCGCGGGCCTGGCTTCTCCCCCAGAAGACCAGCATCATGCTGAGTCGGCCTCCTCTGGTGGCAGAGGCTGGGTGCGCAGCCCAGCAGGGTCCCACAGTGCTGTGGTCCACGGGGAGACCAGGGCCAGCAGGGGGGCTGAGCTGGGCCCCACAGAGGGTGACGACGGTCCGGGGTGGGGTGGGAATACAGGAAGGAGCTTCTGTTGGAGAGCAGAGCCCGTGGTCCTTGTGCACGCCCGGAGTGTGGGTGCCGGCCAGTTCCTTCAAGGGTTTGGGGCCTTGGGCCGAAAGAGTATGCGTGCTGGATCTTCCCACCAAGCGGAGGCACCACAGCACCAGGGTGGACAGCTCAGGTCTGTGTCACACAGACCCAGCTTCCGTGTAGATTCTGCCAGGCCAGGCTGTGCGACCTTAGGGATGCCGCGGCCCTGAGCGGCCCTCAGCACTGAGCGTGTGAGGAGCCCCGCAGCATGGCCGCTGTTGTCACCATCACCGCCCGTCTAGGGACTGACCCTGGTGCAGGGGTGGGGGGTGTCCAGCGGGAGGACTGCAGAGATCCTGCCTGCCTGGGGCTTTGGCGGCACCCACGGAGCTGACTCTCCGGGGAAACGGGAGTCGTGTGCCCCCTTCCCCTGGGCAGACCCAGTGCCGTCCCGGGAGTCTGAGGAGGTCGGGGCTTGAGGGAGCTGCAGGAGGGCCCAGGCGACTCCTCACCTACCGGCTGCCCCCCTCCCCTTCCCGTGCACAGATATCCAGTTCTGGAATAGCCGGCAGTCCCTGGAGGGCCTGTCCGTGCGCTCTGTCTTCTTCGGCGTCTTCCAGTCCTTCGTGGTCCTGCTCTACATCCTGGACAATGAGACCAACTTCGTGGTCCAGGTCAGCGTCTTCATTGGGGTCCTCATCGACCTCTGGAAGATCACCAAGGTCATGGATGTCCGGGTAAGCCGGACCACCGCGCCGCAGCGGGAGCCCCCGGAGGTTGGGAGTGGGGTCGCACAGCCCAGCCAGACCCTGGAGCTGGCCCCGGGGGATTCCCAGTGCCTGCCGCACTCCCGAGACCAAGGGGATTTTCGCACCAGGGGATTTTTCGGGTCACACATGGGGCAGGGGAACTGGGAGCAATGGGGGAAGGTCAGGGGCTGGAGCTGGCTCGGGGGTGGGGGAGGGCGGGAGCCCGCATGGTGGCTGACCGCAGCCTCCCTCCTTGTCTGCAGCTGGACCGGGAGCACAAGGTGGCAGGACTCTTTCCCCGCCCGACCTTCAAGGACAAGTCCACATACGTTGAGTCCTCAACCAAAGTGTATGATGATGTGAGTGTCCCCCTTCCCAGTGGGCCCCAGGGAGGCTCTCCAGGTACCCGCTCGCTCCTGGGGGTCCCGGCTCTGGGCAGTGGTTGGGGGGCTGGGATGTCTGTCAGCTGACAGCCCCTTGCTTTAGGGCTTGTATCATTCCCTCCAGTGTCCTCTGTCTGCCACATCAACTTCCTGACTGAGTCCAGAGTTCCCAGGGCCACCTGGAAATTCCCCCGGGCTGGCCTGCCAAACCAGGTGTGGGCGGGTGGGGGTGAGGAGCCAGGGTGCCAGGTGGGGCCCGAGGAGCCACGTCCCAGCCCCACCCTGTGCCCTGCAGATGGCGTTCCGGTACCTGTCCTGGATCCTCTTCCCGCTGCTGGGCTGCTACGCCGTCTACAGCCTCCTATACCTGGAGCACAAGGGCTGGTACTCCTGGGTGCTCAGCATGCTCTACGGCTTCCTGCTGACCTTCGGTGAGCAGGCCCTGGGCGCATAGCCCCTGTGGTGTCCGGGCAGGTATCCAGCCACGGCTCTCAACCCTGTGCTGGGGCCTCGAGAGTGAGCGAATCGGCCTGGCCCTGCCCTCCCCACAACTTGAGGTCCAGTGTGGGAGACTGACCCATCCCCAGACACGGACACTTTGGGGTGGTCAGGGATGGCACATGGGCAGCCTCAAAGTGCTGCCCAGTCTGATCTAGGGGTCAGGAAGGGATTCCAGGAAGCTCTGGACAGTGCATCTCGGTCATCCCCAGGGGAACCGACAGAGTGAACAGGCAGACAAGGGAGTGACCACAGGTGATAAGTGGTATGAAGGGGTCAGCGTAAGGGGGTACTGAAGCTGGTGGGGGGACCTCTCTGAGGAGATGACATGTAAACTAAGGCCTGAAAGATGCCTAGGAGGGAACCATGCAAAGATCTGGTGACAGCGGGCAGAGCAAGTGCAAAGGCCCTGAGGTAGGATGTGCCGGGCTGTTGGAAGTGGCAAGGCCAGTGTGGCTGGAGCAGAGTGAGGAAGGGACAGAAGCCAGAAACGCAGTCAGGGGTGGAGGGTCAGGATGCCCCTTGCTCTGCTCACGGGTGTCCCTTCCTTACCCCCACAGGCTTCATCACCATGACACCCCAGCTCTTCATCAACTACAAGCTCAAGTCTGTGGCCCACCTGCCCTGGCGCATGCTCACCTACAAGGCCCTCAACACCTTCATCGATGACCTGTTTGCCTTTGTCATCAAGATGCCTGTCATGTACCGGATTGGCTGCCTGCGGGACGGTGAGGCCCGGTGGGTGGGGGGGTGTGTGGGTGGGCCAGCCGCCCGCCCACAGGCTCTCACCAGAACTGGGCATGGGTGGTGCCTGGTCTGAGGGAGGGGCCCTGGCCTGGGGGCTCAGCCCACTCTGAGCAGGACCACCCCTCCACACCCCCACATGCTGGGGGGCCGGGTGGGCCCTGCCTCTGTCCCTCACACTACCCCCTCCCCACCCCTCCCCCCAGATGTGGTCTTCTTCATCTACCTCTACCAACGGTGGATCTACCGCGTCGACCCCACGCGGGTGAACGAGTTTGGCATGAGCGGCGAGGCCCCAACAGCAGCTGCCCCTGTGGCCGAGGCCCTGCCAGCAGCAGGGGCCCTCTCACCTGCCCCCAGCCCTGCCACGACCACTGAGGCCGCCGGGGAGGAGGCCTCTGCACCCCCGCCCTCCCAGGCCCCCCAGGGGCCCAGCTCTGCCAGCGAGCCCCAGGAAGCCCCTCCAAAGCCAGCAGAGGACAAAAAAAGGGATTAGTCACTCCTGGTCTTCCTCCGCCCAGGCTCCTGGTGACCACCACCCCGCTGCCCTGGCCCCTCGCCACCCCATCCCCGTTGCCCTTTCCCTGGACAGATCGGGCCGGGGTGGCGGGAGGCCCCCACGGCTGGGGCCCAGCGTGTGGCATGGGGGCTGGGGCAGGCCAGGGCCCGTCATTTGTGGAGGCGCCGTCCGTCTGTCTGTTCTTCTGTGTTTCTAGCCATCGCGCCCCGCCAGCCCAGCACCATTGGGAATCATGGTGAAGCCGACGTGGCACTGCTGAGGGGGGGCCAGGCGGGGGAGGGGCCGGGGCCCCACGGAGGGACGCCCACGGCCGTCGTCATCTTGTCTCTCCATCCCCCACCGAGCCCTCTCCTCCCAGACCGCCGCCCTTTAACACAGTCTGGATTTAATAAATTCATATGGGTGTTTAACTTAAACTCAGCAGAGCCCCCACCTCGTGCCTTCCTTCCTCTGCCACCCCAGGGAGCAGGTGTGGGCGGCTCTCCCGAGCATACACAGGGCCACTCTAGGCCAGGCCCCTTTCTCATCCTTCTCTCCCTCCCAGAGGGTTCCAGAACTGTCCTGTCTCACAGATGGGGAAGCTGCCTGCCGTGACCGCACCGCACCATCACTCTTAGCCACAAAGCTGTGTCAAAGCCTCACCTATGCCCGCTGACTATCTCCTGGCCTCAGGTGGCCTGGCAGGGCAGGAGGGCGAATGAATCTGCCGCTTCGAGAGCTGAGTCAGCCTCCCTTGGTCCATAGCCCTGGGACCCTGGCTGCCCGACCTTGCTTCTGGGCTTAAGAGCTTGTCTCCAGGGGGACCCCGAGGGTGAATCCCAGCTCAGAATGGTGCCAGGCTGTGGCATCCATAACTGTTGGGGTGAGGTCAGCACCCTGAGGGCTGCCAGTGCCAAGGACCCAGCCAGAGTCTTGTGTGGTGTGCCTGCCTTCCCGACAGACTGGGTACTGGTTCACCCACTTTGTAGATGAGACTGAGGCCCCCGGCTGTCCCTGCACATCCCAGGAGTTGGCACCCCACGTTCCCAGGTTTCCTTTTTGCGTGGGTGTTCTCATCAGTATTTCTAGGAGAGGAGCCCTGGGGCTGAGAACCTCTACCACGGTACCCGCAGAGCCAGGCAAGGCATCCAGGAGGTCCCAGGAGGTGTGTACAGAGCCCCACCTGTGTACACAGGCACGTGTGCACACGCTGCAGGTTCCACCCCTCAGGCCGCTGCTCCACTCCCTCCACTGCTGTGCGTCAGTCCCCGCACCCACTTCCTTAGGAAAAAGCTCCACATCCTCATGGCACAGCCTTTGGCAAGACCCATCAGTATACCCCACAATTGCTTGGGGTTCTCACTGCTTCCACTGAGGCCACCTGGTCCAGGCTCCTCATTACCCTGGGGTCCCCACTCAGCCTCCTCCCTGGCCTCCTACCCTTCCCCTCATCTGTTCACTCTTCATCCAGCAGCCAGAATTTTCTTGTTTCTTTTTTTGTTACCCTGCATGGCATGTGGGATCAAACCCATGCTCCCTGCAGTGGGAGCATGGAGTCTTCACCACTGGACCACCAGGAAAGTCCCGAACAGCCAGAGCTTTGTGAAGCACAAACCTGACACTGCTCATTCGTTCAGAACCTACCATGACTCCCCAGTACCCCTGGGAGAAGAGCCCAGGCTGCTAACAGTGCTGAATACTTGTGGGGAGGGGGCTTCTTAACCCTTACAGCTTCATCTCCCTTGCTCTAACTAGCTGTGACCTCTTACTCTCTGGCACTCTTCCCTTACCTGAGACATGCTTCCAGGCACACAACACTTCATCTTACCCTATGCATCCTCCAGGTTGTAGCTCCACAGCTCCTCCTCCAGGAAGCCCTTCCTGATCACCTCCTCTGAGACAGCCCCCACCATCACCACCAGCTCCCTGGTCCCACATCCCAGCCCTGGCCACTAAGGGTCATCACTGCCTGGGGACAGGTAGTGTCCACTACCTGGACTGAGCCCTGTTAGGACAGTCTCAGAGCTGCCTTGGCCATTGCTGTGTCCATGGCACAGAGGAGTCACTCTGAATGTTTGCCCAGTTCTAACTCTCACCGGCACACATCCAGAAGTAAAGACCTAGATGGGACCTGTTTTAAGACACCAGTGGAGAGACTAACATACAGTCGGTCAACAAATGTTCCCTGAGCCCTTCCCCTGGACAATGCTCTGAGCTGGGGGGAGTTCTGTGCACACAACAGGGGTCAAGACAACCCCAGGCCTGCCCTCATGGGGCTCAGAGCCCTGAGCTGAGGATTTCCGACATGTCCTTTCAGTCATTAACCCAACAAAGCATTGTGAACGCTGACATTTCATGGGGCAGAAGGGAAGCAGGTGGACTAACTGGTCCTACACATAGGAGCCACTATTCAACACTCTTATCATGAAGGCAAGTTCTAGTCTAAGTGCTGTATGTGGTTCTCTTCATTAAATTTCAGTACCCAGTGGCCCCGTCACCTTACAGACCACGGCTCTTGCATCATCTCCACTGCTTCCCCAGCAATCCCTCACGTCCTTGCTATTCTCTGAACATGCCATGCGTGTTCCCACCTCAGGGCCTTTGCATTTGCCATTCCTTGTGTCTTGAACACTCACCTAGACATCCACATGGATCCTTCACCATTTCAGGTATCTGATCAGATGTCATCTCAGACCCTTCCTGAACTTCCAAACCCAAATGTTATCCTCATACTCAATCCTTGTATCCTGCTTTAATCTTCTGTAATACCGCCATCACCATCAGACATGTATTTGCTTACCTCTTTTCCAGCTGTCTCTCCCCCGGCTTGGATTTCAGTGCCATGATGGCAGGGGCTTTTTAAAACTATTGTGTTGCTTTCTGTGTCCCCAGTTTTTGGAAGAGTGCCTGGTACTATTACCCTGTGTGCCATAACTCTTGTTAGTCATAGTTCACAAGAGATGAGAAAACTGAAAACTCAGAGAAGTTAATTTGTCCAAAGTCTGACAAAGTAATGTGACACAAAGTGCTAGAACAGCACTTAGCACATGGAAGAGCTCTATACAAGTGTCAACTATTGTTAGTATTTAATTCTCACACCCATTATATTATTAGACCCATTTTACAGAAGGGGAACTGAGGCTCAGAGAGATGAAGTCAGTTTCCTAAGATCTCCTAGGAAGTGGGAGACCTAGGATTGGAACTTGGGCAGCCTGATTCTGAACCTTCAAATCACAGCCTTTCTAGCAATGCCCTTGTCATATGCAGACTACAGCCTGCAGGCCCAAAATAGCATTTTCCAATTTTTCTGTAATTTTGACATGTTTTAAGTGGTTGGAGGAAAATCTCAATAATACGTTTCACATGAAAGTTAAAATTCAAATTGTAGTGGCTATAATATAATATTTTATTGGAGCATAGTCATGTTCATTGTTTCTGTATGGTCTTCGGCGGCTTTTGTGCTATGGCAGAGTGGAGTTTTGAGACGCCTGACCTTCAGCCTAAAGCAAAACAAATTTGCTATCCAGCCCATTGCAGAAAATGTCTGCTCCCTATTTGGCTTTATAGCAGTACTCCAACTTAAGCTGACTTCATATCACCAGAAGGCTTAAGGCCACACCTTGAGAACTACAGTGGACTCTCCTGCCTCCCATGAGCAGTTCAGGGCTGGCTTGGGTGCCCTGGTACCCAGTGCAGGCTCTGGCACACAGCAGGTGCTCAATAAGTGTATGTCGACTGAATCAGTGAGTCCATGTGGGCCATGAAGAGAAGAGGTGGAACACTCAAAATTTTCACAAGCAGACACAGGATGTCAAACCTGGGCTCTGTGACCTGAGGGTGCTTGGTGTCCAAGCTGTGACCTAATGAATAGGCTTAAGACATATGATCTAACCAACTGGCTGCCCCTTTTTGAGCCTCAATCTCCTCTTCTCTGCATTAGTCCCAATTATATCACCTTTCTCTGATGCTGGTGCAAGGTGTGAGGCATTGGTGAGGCCCCCAGGTAAGCCCAGGGATCAGGCACTCAACTCATGTACCCTGGGGTCTGTGCTGTTATCGTTCCAAGACAGTTATTGAGCCTTTGAGCTGAAAGTGTTGTGGGCTGTTAGAAAACCTAAAGGGAGCTGTGGGGAGGAATGAAACATCCATCCATTCATTCAGTAAACATTTATTGGGCACCTACTGTTTTTCAGGTGCTGTTCTAGGTGCTGGGGATACAGCAAGGAAGAAAATAAGACAAATCCTAGAGTTGACACCGTAGCTTTAAATGTTTAAGTATCTTCAACAATTGACTCAGTTGAAGGAACTGAGGTGTAGAGAGACCATGGAAGTTTCGAAAAGATTATCATCAGGGCAGCTATAGAGCCCTGGTAAACCTCCTGATCCCGAAGCTTCCCTTCCAGCCACAGAAACAGGTCAAGGCCGCTTGGCAGACTTGGGGAGGCAGGTCTCAGTTTCCTAATTTGCTACATGGGTAGGTTAGGTAGTTGCTCGAAGCGGACTCAGTGGTCTCGGCCTGGGTAATGGGCATCGTCGCTGGTCGGGCCCCTCCGGTGCGCCCAGCCTCCTCTTCCCGGCCGGCCCCGCCCCCGAAGCCACGTGACGCGTGGGGGTTTTCCCGTTCCCCTGGCGTGACGTAACGACGGGGTGCGGGCCAATGAACGCGCAGGCCGGCGGCGCCGGGGAATTCCGCCGCCCCGCCCCCGCCCGCCGCCCGCCCGGCCCGGCCCGGCGCCCCCCGCAGCCCCGGGCGCCGCGCGTCCAGCCCGGCTTGAGGCCCCAGCCCCTGCGCCGCTCTCCCGACCCGCAATCGTCCGCCAGACCGTGCCACCTGGCCGCTCTGCCTGCCCGCGTGTGTGTGTTTTGGTCTGGGCTGGCCTCCGGGCCGTCAGTCCCCACTGGTTGGGCCATGCCGAGTCGCCGCGTCGCCAGATCGTCCGCTGCGCCGGAGCTCGGGCCCTTGGGTAAGCGGGGTCAGGGATCAGGAGAGGAGTCTGGGGCGGGACTGGAGACGCGGGAGTTCTGGGGGTCCCGGAGTAGTCTGGGAGTTCCTACAGGAGTCCAGGGGTTTTGCGGGGAGAGTGTGAGGGTTCTGGGGACACTATATCAAAGGGAAGGAAGGAGGCAGAGGATGGTGACCGGGTCCGGTCCAAGGTAAGAGAGAGGCGTCCCACTATAGAGTGAGAAGGGGGCGGGGCCTGACCCTGAGGCAAAGAAGGGGGCGGGACCCGACGACAGAGGGGAGGGGCGGGGCCTGACTCGGAGAAGGAGGAGCGGAAGCCGTTCCTGAGGGATTGGGCGTGGCCAGACGCAGACATGGAGTAAAAGGAGGGGCCTGGCTCCCAGAAGGGGGCGGGGTCTAAGATTAGTGCGATAAGGGGGCGTGGCCTAACGCAAAGAAGGAAGCAAGCTCTCGCCTACTCAGAGTAAAAGGCGGGGCTTACGGTGATAAGGGGCGGGGACCGACTCGGAAAGGGAGAAGGGGCGGGGCCTGACTCTGGAGGAGAGAGAAGGGGGAGGGCCTGTTCTGAAAAAAAGAGGGCGGGGTCTTACTCAGAGAAGAAAGAGGAGGTGGGGCTTGTCTCAGGAGAGAAGTGGCAGGGTCTGAGAGGGAGAAGAGGACTGGCTTGACACTGGAAAAGTGAAGGGTAGGGTCTGGCCCTGAAATAAGGGAGGGGGTGGGGGCTTTTCTAACTGAGGTTGATAAGAGCTCCTTCAGGCCCTTCTCAGCCTTCTTAACAGAGAGAAGGAGCAGGGTCTGAGTGTGACGAAGGGTGGGGTGACAGAGAGAAAGTAGAGAACCTTTCCACGAGTTAAGGAAGTAAGTAAGGCCAGACCAGGCAAGCTAAGGGTGAGGGGCCTGACCCAAAGAGGCGGTGCCAGGAGAGGAACGGAGTGGGGCTTGGAAGATTCTCTGGTTTTCCCGCCGCATCTTCATCACCTCCTGAAACATGCCTCCTTCCCTGCAGGGTCCGCTGACCTCTCCTCGCTCTCTCTCGCCGTTTCCAGGACCACGGGTGAGCAGCCCTCCACAGTTGCTGCCCGTCTGCACGCTCAGGACGGGCAGGGGGAATCCTATGGAGGTGGCCTTGTGCATGCCTCTATCTGGGGTGGGGTGGGGGGATTGCAGAGGTCCACCTCAGCTTTCCTCAGCCTGTGTCCCTCCCTGCCCGTTGAGATGGGGGTCCCCAGATGCCCCTACCTCCCAGGTGATAAGGAGCTGGGCAAGTACAACTAACCACCTACTCGCTTTCTAAGAGGAGTCCTCTTTAGAGGTTCACTATCATAGTGCAGAGGGCAATAATATGCTGGTGCCACCACCCCTTCACTGTGTGAATGTCTGGAAGTCATTTCCCCTCTCTGGGCCTCAGTTTTTCTCCTCTGAAGAATGGGCATAATATCAATGCCTCCCTTTTGGAGGGACCAAGATGAGTCAATGAGTTGATACAGCTAAACAGTTCAATATTAAAACAATGACAATATCAAAGCAATATCTGGCACACATTTAAGGATCACCTAGAGAGCTGTTAAAAAAACAAATCTTTGGGCTCCACCTCCAGAATTTCTGATTCAGAGGGTCCAGGATGAGCTCTGGAAATGTGCATTTCTAGCAAGTTCTCAAGAGATGCTGAGAACCAGTAGTCTATAATGCCCTTCATTCAGTGCCATCCAAAATTCATGGGACTTCCCTGGTGGTATAGTGGTTGAGACTCCATGGTTCCACTGCAGGGGGCGTGGGTTTGATCCCTGGTTGAGCAATTAAGATCCCACGTGTCATGCAACAACAACAAAAAAAAAAACAAACGACACACACACACCATATACAGTGCTGATCAAGGAAATACAGAACCATGGCCAAAGGATGACATCCTTTCTCATAAATGTGCTGGAATTTGCAGGTCAGGGATTGAATTCTGCCGCCGTGAAAACTCAGAGGCCCCCGAGGGCTGGGTCTGAACCTCTCTCTGGAGGTGGAATCTTGGGATGGACCCCAGAAGTGCTGGCATGGCTGTGGAGGAGGGCCTGTGGGTTCTCTAACAGATCTCTGAGTGGGAGATTCTGAAAGGTGGGAGCTGCACTGGAAAAAGGTCCTGCCAAGCACTGCGTCTGGGCAGGAACAAGGCTGAGATTTTTCTGACCCAAGACCTAGATCTTTGGTTTCAATTAAGAGTAATTTTTGCCATAATCCATTCAATAAATATTTATTGAGTGCCTATTCCTTACCTGGCCCTGTGCTGGGCAGTGCTGAGGACTCAGCAATAACTGAGACAACCCTGGCTGTGCCCTCACAGGGTTCCCTACCTAAACGTGGAGGCAGCTAGGTACACAATGAATTAACTGTAGGACTGTAAAATGTGATAAAGGCTATAAACAAATCTTGGGATCAGTGACACCTAAATAGCAAGGTGGGGATGGGAGAACTGAGATGGAGGGAAATTTTCCCTCGTTTTGATGAACCAGATACACACTGGGGCCTGGGTATAGTGGGGAGGGGCAGATGTGTTTCCTCCTCTCTGGTGCTCACAGTCTACAGGAGACTGATGTGAGTCACTGTAATGTAAGGTCATGTCAAATCCTAACAAGTGTCATGAAAATGATAAAACCAAGGCACCTAACTATGAGTGACTGGAGTGGGGGTTCTGGGGGTTACCTTGGATAAAGTAGTCAGGGAAGACCTATCTAGGAGGTGACATTGGAATGGGGACCTGCAAGTGGAAAAGGAGGCATACAAAGAACTGAAGGAAGGGCATTCTGGCAGAGACTAACCTGTGCAAAGGCCCCGAGGCAAGTGGTGAGAAAGACGGCTGCTCAAGTGTGCTCAAGGGACTGCCCCTGAATGGTGGATAGTTTGTGTAGGAGGTGGGGGGGGGGTAGGTTGAGCAGACCCTGAATAAGACCCTGGCTGAAAGAGGATTTTAATTTTAGATAATAATAATTTTTAAAAACTAATAACTAAGCTTTATGAAGGGCCTGAAGTGTTCAGACCCTATACTAAGCAATTTCCCAGTGTGCTTCTAAATCCTCATGCTAATGCCTGAGATGTATCAGCTCATTTTATAGAGAAGAAGGCTCAGAGAAGTTAGGTGACTTGCCCAAGGCAACACAGCCAGCAAGTGACAGCTGGGATTCAAACTGACATCTGTGTGACTCCACACCTGATACTCTGATATGATGTCTTCAAACCTCCCCATTTTATAGACAGACAAACTTCTGCTGCTAGAGAGCAAAAGCAATTTTCCCAAATTCATAAAATAATGTCTCTGACGCCTTACCCAACAATAGCCAGCATTTATGTATCACCTACTATTATGGCGGTTCTAAGTGCTTCCTGTATATCAGCTCATTTAATTTTCACAACAGCCCCACAAGAGGGGCATTATTATTATGTCCATTTTATAGATGAAGAAACCAAGGCACAAAAAGAGGTTAAGGGACTTCCCCTGGAGAAGGAAAAGGCTCCCCACTCCAGTGTTCTGGCCTAGAGAATTCCATGGACTGTATAGTCCATGGGGTCACAAAGAGTCGGACACGACTGAATGACTTTCACTTCACTGGTGGTCCAGTGGCTAAGACTCTGCACTCCCAATGCAGGGGGTCCAGGTTCCACCCCTGGTCAGGGAACTAGATCCTACATGCCACAACTAAGAGTTCACATGCCACAACTAAAACATCCCAAATTCTAAACTACAAAAAAAAAAAAAGTTAAGTAATGGGCTCAAGGCCACATTAGCACATAGCAAGGAGTGGAACCAGGATTTGAACTTAAGCAGTCCAGAGCTTCAAAATTGCCCAGGCCTCAGTTTCCCCTTGCAGCCTGGGAGTTCCTTGAGGGCTCGGACACAGGCTAAGTCATCTTTGGAGCCCCGGGTCATCCAGCACAGACGCCTGAGAAGGTGTTTCCAAGTTGAAGTGACTTGACGTCGGCCCTGCCACTGACCGACAGCATGTCCCCTCCTTTCTCCCAGCCTCAGTGTCCCCATCTATCAAGTGGGGGTGTCTTCCTCACCCTGCTGACTTCACAGATCACATGAGATAAGAAGTGTAGGAAGACTGCTTGCTTTCCAAGGAGCAAAGGTCTGGCTGCCGGGAGCCACTCCCAGAGAGTGGAGGAGGAGGACAGATCTGGCAGCTGAGCAGCTCGGCGATAATCCAGCCGCCAGTCGCCAGCACAGGCAACTGTGGATGGGGCACCTGGACCCCGCCTGCCCTCCCTGGCTGTGTGACCCTCCAGGCTTGCTTGCTCCCTCGGGGCTCCCGTTGTTTTACGTCTGTGGAATGGTGGGAGGTTGGTTTCGATCCTCCATGGTCCCTTCCAGGGCTGAGCTTTCCTGAGGAGGTGATAAGGGACATCCGCAGCATTGCTGTTATTCCCTCCTTAGGGAGAAGGGGTGAATCCCAGATCCTGGGTGGGCACTGCTCGGGGACCAGCATGGGATGCAGAGCAGGTGGTTGCTTGGGGTGGAGGATCAGCCTCCCTGGAGCTTCAGACACCAGCAAGTGATATCTTGGGGTCTCGGGTGGGCTTTAGGGAGGGCTACAACCTCACATTTTGTTTAGAATCTTTTTTTTTTTTTTGGCTGAGCTGTAGAGCTTGTGGGATCTTAGTTCCCCAGCCAGGGATCAAATCTGGACCCTTGGTAGTGAAAGCACAGAGTCCTAACGACCAAACCTCTAGGGATTTCCCTTGTTTAGAATCTTAGGTGTCCCCTTTTTTTTTTCCCCTGGTGATAAAACCCTTGACTTTTCATCAGATTTTCAATAATGCTTCATAATCCCTGGTCTAAATGTTTTGAGGGGAGGCATTTGAGGGTAGCCTAACCCTAGGACCCCAACATTGGGAGCTGAAGGGAAAGTAGGCCAGGAGCAAGAGATGGGGGTTGGGGCTTAACATCCCAGGATTTCCTAGGATGGAGGAAGAGGGAAGGGTTCCAGGAGGGGAAGGGGTTGGGGTGGGGGGGGGGGTTCTATCTTAAAACATGAAAGTCTTGAACACTTTCTGGACCTCACCTTTCTTACCTTTCTCTTTCTCTTCCTTCCACAGATGAACTGGGTAAGTATCACAGGGCGGTCTAGGGGGGAGGCTAGAGTCCCAGGTGCTCACTGAGGGGGATCTTGGCCTTCCTTGTTGGTGAGGAGGTCACGGTGTGACTTCTGGGACTGCTGGGGGATTTTAACAGTCATGTGCTCTCAGGGTAATTAGCAGCGCTTGTGAAAATTCAGCATATGCCAGCTGCCTTTAATATTAGTTACCATTACTACGACTATTGTTCATTCCTTGAGTGCACTGTATGGAGCACGAGCTGTGGATTCAGCCCTGAAGCGAAGCCTCTGCCCTCTTGGAGCTGATACTCTAGTGGCGGAGACTGAAGGAAAAGGAATAAAGAACAAAACAATGTTAGATTGGGCTAAGGCTTGTGAAGGAAATAAACAGGAAAGGGCCTGGGGAAAATACATTAGATCGGGCCTTTCTGAAGAGGTGAACTGAGACTGGAAGGACGAGAAGGAACCAGAATGGTTCAAATAGGGGGACCAGGCAGATGGAGGAACCAGTACAACACCCTGAAGAGGGCCGGGCTTGGTGGGTGCAACAGAAAAGAGACCAGAACGTGGTGAGAGGGGGCAATGGGAGGCCAGAGGCCCAGGACAGCCAGGATTCTGTGGCCAAGGCCAGGGGTTGTCTTGTTTTCCTGAGATGAATGGAGCTTGGGGAGAGCTTTATATGGGGAAGGTGTTGACTGACTCTTGGGGAGATGGGAGCCACTGGAGGTTTCTGTGCACATGAGGATAGGGTCTGATATCAGATCCCTCCGGCGATGTGTGGCGGATAGACTGGAAGAGGGGAGATGGGGACCAGGAGCAGTGATCAGATGGAAAAGGATGGAGGGCAGCCCAGGGAGGAGACAGCGGGGGTGGGAGAAGTGGTGGGATTATACATGTATATTTGAGGGAGAGGCGGGAGAGTTCCAGGTGGTGCTAATGGTAAAGAATCCTTCTGCCAATGCAGGAGATGCAAGAGACGTGGGTTTGATCCCTGGGTCAGGAAGATCCCCTGGAGGAGAAAGTGGCAACTCACTCCGGTATTCTTGCCTGGGAAATCCCATGGACAGAGGAGCCTGGCAGGCTACAGTCCATAGTGTCACAAAGAGTCTGACGAGACTGAAGCGACTTAGCACGCACACACACACATGCAGGAGAAGTTCATGGATTAGACCTGGTGGATGTGGGATCCTGAGCCGCTGACAACATGGCATCCTTCCAGCTTGATCACTGGATGGTGATGCTCCTTTCTGATATGAAGCTTTGGCAGAGCGGCTGTTATTCCTGTTGTTATTAAATGGGGCAAGATGGGGGCAGGGGTGCCTGTGACTTGGTCTTACCTTGATCCAGGTGAGAGGTCATGGAGGCAGGGGTGCAGGAGCTGTTTTGGAGGCGAGTGGACATGAGCGTGCAGGAGAAGGAGAAACCAGGCCGACCCCCAGGGCCTTAAGAACTGGGGATGCTGGGGGTCTGTTTGCAAGAAGGAAGGCAGGGGCTTTTTTGTGTGTTAAGAGCTGAAGCCCCTACTCTCTGTGTGTGAAGCCCACAAGAAATCTGCCTTGAAGAAATGAATGAACAGGAAATGGAGAGGGTGGCAAAAGTCAGGGGATTAAACAAGCCTTTTCTTTTAACAATCAGCGTCACTCCCAGTTTTGGCTTCTCCCGCAGAGATCATCGACGAGTACATCAAGGAGAACGGCTTCGGCTTGGAGGGGGCGCAGCCCGGCCCGGGCGAGGGGCTGCCGCGCCTGGTATCTCGCGGGGCGGCCTCCCTGAGCACCGTCACCCTGGGCCCCGCGGCGCCTCCGCCCCCGGCCACACCGCCGCCCTGGGGCTGCACCCTGGGCCGGCTGGTGCCCCCGGCCCCGGGCGCCGGGCCGCGGCCGCACCTGGTCATCACCGAGCAGCCCAAGCAGCGCGGCATGCGCTTCCGCTACGAGTGCGAGGGCCGCTCGGCCGGCAGCATCCTCGGAGAGAGCAGCACGGAAGCCAGCAAGACGCTGCCCGCCATCGAGGTAGGCAGAGGGAGATGGGCACCAGGAGTGGGGGGAGGCGGGGCGTGGGGTGGGGACTCGCGATTCTCTTGCCCCCAGGAGTCACATGCGCGTATTTCTTTATTCGTGCATTTTTATGATGATGATGATTGTTTTAAAATTTTCATTCATTTATTTTTGGCTGCACTGGGTCTTCGTTGCAGTGGGCTTTCCCTAGTTGCCGAGCGTGGGGGCTACTCTCTAGTTGTGGTGCAGGCTTCTCATTGAGGTGGCCTCTCGTTGCAGAGCAGGGGCTCTAGGCCCTTGGACTCAGTTGCTCCACAGCATGTGGGATCTTTCCAGACCAGAGGTTGAACCCCTGTCCCCTGCATTGGCAGGCAGATTCTTATCCACTGCGCCAAGGGAGAAGTCTCTATGGTGGTTATTATTACTGTTGTTGCTACTTTTGGGGTGGATGATACCACTGGGGTGTGTGTGTGTGTGTGTTAGTCGTGCTCAGTCACGTCCAACTCTGCGACCCCGTGGACTGTAACCCGCCAGGCTCCTCTGTCCATGGAATCCTCCAGGCAAGAATACTGAAGTGGATTGCCATTCCCTTCTCCAGATACCGCTGTTACTTGGCATTAAATTTAAAGAGTTTTCAGAGAAAGACCTTCTTCCTGGCAATATGACAGTATTGATCAAAATTATTATTGCTGTAAGGGCAGTGTAGCCTCTTGGTTCACGGTAAGAATCCGAGTGCTTGAGTTCGAATCCTGCTTCCACCATCTGCTAGCTGTGCTGCCTCGGGCGCGTTACTCAGTCACGCTGTGCCTTCTCTACAAAACCTGATAATAGGGACTTCTCTGGTGGTCCAGGGCTTAGGACTCTGCTTTCATTCCTGAGGGCCCAAGGTTCAATCCCTCGTTGGGGAACTAGGATTCTGCAAACCGAGCAGCATGGCAAAAAAAAAAGTAAAATAAAATCCCCAAACTTCTGGAAGTGGGATTGCCCATCAAAGGCAACTTGACAGCTGTTGCCAAGTTGCCCTCCTTGGGGGTTGCACCCATGACTGTCTCTCCCAGTGATGTCTGGGAGGCCTGGTGCCTCATGCCTCTCCAGCACGGAGCCTTCTTGTATTTCTGGATCTTTGCCCAAGTGTCCGTGGACCCTGAATTGTGTCCTCACCATCCCACTCGCCCCAGATCCAGGCCCAGCTGCTCCCTGACCTCCAGCTTCCTGCCTGGTGACCAGCTCTCAGTCCCCTGCAGATTTCCCTTCCCTCTTCGGTGAGGCAGCCAGAGGGGTGCTGGTAAATTACACATCTGCTCCTCTCTCCTGCTTAGAATCCTCCTTGGTCTCCTGAGTGCCCTCAGGAGGAGGCCCAAGGTCCTCCTGGGGAAGAGCCTCCCCGGGGTCTCTTAAGACCTTTGCTTATTTCTTTTTAAAAAAAGATTTATTTAATTATTTAACTGGACTGGGTCTTAGTTTCAGCACATGGGATCTTCCATCTTAGTTGTGGCATGTTGGATCTAGTTCCTTGACCAGGGATGGAACCCAGGCCTCCTGCATTGGGAGCATGAAGTCTTAGTCACTGGACCACCAGGGAAGTCCCTCTAAGACCTTTCCTGGTCCGGCTTCTGCTGCCCACTCCCACCCGGAGCCCTCACTCCCCACCATCCAGTCATCACACCTTCGCCACTGCTGTTCCTCCTGCCTGAAATGCTTTCCACCTGCAGCCTTGAGTTCAGTTCAGTCACTCAGTCGTGTCCGACTCCTTGCGACCCCATGGACTGCAGCATGCCAGGCCTCCCTGTCCGTCACCAACTCACAGAGTTTACTCAAACTCATGTCCATTGAGTTGGTGATACCATCCAGCAATCTCATCCTCTGTCGTCCCCTTCTCCTCCTGCCTTCAATCTTTCCCAGCATCAGGGTCTTTTCAAATGAGTCAGTTCTTCACATTAGGTGGCCAAAGTATTAGAGTTTCAGCTTCAGCATCAGTCCTGCCAATGAATATTCAGGACTGATTTCCTGGATCTCCTTGCTGTCCAAGGGACTCTCAAGACTCTTCTCCAACACCACAATTCAAAAGCATCAATTCTTCGGCACTCAGCTTTCTTTATAGTACAACTCTCACATCCATACATGACTACTAGAAAAACCATAGCTTTGACTAGATGGACCTTTGTTGATAAAGTAATGTTTCTGGTTTTTAGTATGCTATCCAGGTTGGTCATAACTTTTCTTCCAAGGAGCAGGCGTCTTTTAATTTCATGGCTACAGTCACCATCTGCAGTGATTTTGGAGCCCCCAAAAATAGTCTCTCACTGTTTCCAGTTTCCCCATCTATTTGCCATGAAGTGATGGGACCAGATGCCATGATCTTAGTTTTCTGAATGTTGAGTTTTAAGCCAACTTTTTCACTTTCCTCTTTTACTTTCATCAAGAGGCTCTTTAGTTCTTCACTTTCTGCCATAAGTGTGGTGTCATCTGCATATCTGAGGTTATTGATATTTCTCCTGGCAATCTTGATTCCAGCTTGTGCTTCCTCCAGTCCAGAAGTTCTCATGATGTACTCTGCATATAAGTTAAATAAACAGGGTGACAATATACAGCCTTGACATACTCCTTTCCCAATTTGGAACCAGTCTGTTGTTCCATGTCCAGTTCTAACTGTTGCTTCTTGACCTGCATACAGATTTCTCAGGAGGCAGGTCAAGTGGTCTGGCATTCCCATTTCTTTAAGAATTTTCCACAGTTTGTTGTGATCCACACAGTCAAAGGCTTTGGTGTAGTCAGTCACCCCCTATTTACCTGTGAGGCCTCAGCCCACCTCAGGGTTGCCTTTTCTGATCCCCATCCTGGTGCCGGCTTCCGCGTGTGAGATGTTTCCGTCTCCTCTCCCTCAATGCCTCTCTCTCTATTTATTTAATTGGAGGATAGTTGCTTTACAATGTTATGTTGGTTTTTGCTGTACAACAGTATGAATAAGTCGTAACTATATATATATCCCCTCCCTCTTCAGCCTCCCTCTCACCCCACCCTTGCCTCTCTCTTTATATAGACATTTATACAGGGCAGTTTGAAAGTGAGTTGGAGATATGATACTTCACTCAAAATGTTTCTGCCTGTATCTCTCAAAAGCCATGACTTTTTTCTGCAAGGTAGAACCTGTATAATGGCAACTCTGTTATCACGTACTAGAAATGTAATATTCATGCAACGATATCTTCTAAGGTTAAGTCCATAGTCTATTGATCCCACTGACCCCAGATATCCTTTATACTTTTTTTTTCTTTGGTCTACTTGCTTAATATCTGCTCTAGTCCAGTCCTGCCTTTAGTTGTCAGGTCTAAATATTTGTGTACCCTCTCAATTCATACATTCAAACCCTAACTCCAAAAGTTGGAGTAGAAAATGGCAACCCGCTTCAGTATTCTTGCCTGAGAAAATTCCATGGACAGAGGAGCCTGGCGGGCTACAGTCCATGGGGTTCCAAAGAGTTGGACACGACTGAGCACACGCAACTCTGAAGGTGATGGTAGTAGGAGGTGAGGCCTTTGAGATCAGTGCCCTTATAAATGAGGTCCCAGAGCACGCCCTCAGCCCTTCCCCCATCTGAGGACACAGTGACAGAGCCTGCGCCCAAAAGAGGCCCTCACCAGAACCCAGCCGTGCTGGCACCTTGATCTTGGACTTCCAGCCTCCAAAATTCTCAAGAAATAAAGACAGGTATCTTCAGTGTCCTCTGACCTGGGTTTGTTCCTCAGGCGGCCTTTGCGTTTTGGGACGGCGACGTTTATGGAGGACAGAAAAGGTGTCGTTTTTTTGTTGTTGTTGCTTATTTCGCTACGCTCCATCTTAGTCATGGCCCAAGGAATCTTCGATCTTCATTGTGGTGTGCAGGCTCTTTAGTTGCCTCATGAGGGATTTTTTTAGTTATGGCACATGGACTCTTATTGCAGCATGTGGGATCTAGTTCCCTGACCAGGGATCGAACCTGGGCCCCCTGCATTGGGAAGTGCGGAGTCTTAGCCACTGGACCACAAGGGAAGGTGCTTTGTAGTATGTCCCACATTCTGGATTTATTGGCTGTTTCCAGGTTAGATCAGGTTATTAATTTTGGCAGGAATACCCCAGTGGTGAGGCTGTGGTCCTCTTAGAGTCTGACATCCTGGCACGTGGAGTGGCAGTTTGTCCTAATATCTGATGCTGAATCGGATCCCGCGGTTAAGGTGGTTTATACTAAGCTCCAGCTGCCCTCACAGAATCCCACAGACTGGTTGCCTTGAACCACAGGAATTTATTGTCTCATGATTCTGGAGGCGGGAAGGACAAAACTCAGCTATCAGCAGGGTTGGTTTCCTCTGAGGCCTCTCTCCTAGGCTTGCAGATGGCTGCCTTCTCTCTGTCCTCACTTGGTCTCTCCTTTTTGTCCACACTGGTGTCTCCTTGTGCATCCAAATTACCTCTTCTTGTTCAGTCACTCAGTTGTGTCTGACTGTTTGTGACCTCATGGACTGCAGCATGCCAGGCTTCCTTGTCCTTCACCATCTCCTGGAGTTTGCTCAAACTCATGTCCATTGAGTCAGTGATGCCATCCAACCATCTCATCTTCTGTCATCCCCTTCTCCTCCTGCCTTTAATCTTTCCCAGCATCAGGGTCTTTTCCAGTGAGTCAGTTCTTCGCATCAGGTGGCCAAAGTACTGGAGTTTCAGCTTCAGCGTCAGTCCTTCCAATCAATATTCAGGGTTGACTACCTCTTCTTGTAGAATGGCAACCCACTCCAGTATTTTTGCCTAGAGAATTCCATGAACAGAGGAGCCCAACGGGCTATAGCCCACAGGGTTGCAAAGAGTCGGAGACAACTGAGCAACTTTCACTTCAGAACAGAAGGCCAAGAGCAGAGTGGATTAGTCCCCACCCTAGTGAAAGTGAAAGTGTTAGTCACTCAGTCGTGTCTGAGTCTTTGCGACTCTGTGGACTGTAGCCCGTCGGGCTCCTCTGTCTGTGGGATTTTCCAAGCAAGAATACTGGAGTGGGCTAGCCATTCCCTCTTCCAGGGGATCTTTCCAACCCAGGGATCCAACTTAGGTCTCCTCAGGGTAGTCTCCACTCTAAGGGCTGATTAATTTACTCACCTCTCTAAAGGCTATAAGGCTTCCCAGGTGGTACTAGTGGTAAAGAATCCACCTGCCAATGCAGAAGATGCAAGAGACTTGGGTTCAATCCCTGGGTCAGGAAGATCCCCTGGAGGAGAAAGTGGCAACCCACTCCAATATTCTTGCCTGGGGAAAATCCCATGAACAGAGGAGCCTGGTGGGCTACAGTCCATGGGGTCACAAAACAGTCAGACTTGACTAAGCACAGCACTTACAGGGTCTGTCTCCCTGGGGCTAGGGCTTCAACATATGAATTTTGGAAGCGTGCAGTTTAGCCCATAACAGGTAGTGACTCACTTCCTTGATGGTCCAGTGGTTAAGACTGCATGCTTCCACTGCAGGGGCACCAGTTTAGTCGCTGAACAGGGAATTAAGATCCCACAAGCTGCATAGCGAGGGAAGAAAAGCCACCAAAGTGATGAATAATTCTCAGTCTAAATAAAATCCAGTCCTCTCTCAATTAACATAGTCCTTGCAGTTTTTGAAACTTCAGTGTATTTGAAAGTTATGGGGAAAAAAATGTGTGCGTGTGCGCTCAATCGCTCAGTCGTGTCCAACTCTTTTCAATCCCATGGACTGTCGCCCACCAGTCTCCTCTGTCCATGGAATTTTCCAGGCAAGAATACTGGAGCAGGTTGCATTTCCTATTTCAGGAGGTTACCCGACCCAGGGATCTCCTGCGTTGGCAGGCAGATTCTTTACCATTATGGCACTGGGGGAAAAAATGCTATATATGTAAAATGGAAGGAGGTTCTGGCTTCTGACTTTTTCAAACAGGCTTGTCACCAATGTGAATGCTGGTGGGATATTCAGAAGTCTTATAGGATTTGTGTGGGTCTGTCCTGGTATTGCGGCCTGGGTAGCATCTCTGGCTCTGTGTACTGCCTCCTGTGTCTCCATCACCAAAATTGTCACCAGTATCACAAACACCCCCTAGAGGGCAGTACTCGCCCACTGAGACACACCTGTTCATTGTATTTTATAGGCACCAGCTTTACATCTTCACTTTCCTTGGTGGCTCAGCTGGTAGAGAATCTGCTTGCAATGCAGGAGACCTGGGTTCGATCCCTGGGTTAGGAAGATCCCCTGGAGAAGGGCAAGGCTACCCACTCCAATATTCTGGCCTAGAGAATTCCATAGTCCATGGGGTTGCAAAGAGTCAGACACAACTGAGCAGCTTTCACTTTTCATGTTCATATCACACTTTAGAGATTCTCTGATGCCAGCAGGGCCCTGTGAGTGACCTCGGAAAACCAAGTGGGTCTGGGCCTCGTCTCAAGAGGCTGGTATCTGTCAGCTGCCCCGTGTGGCTGCTGAGAATTCCAACCCCAATTGTCATAACTTCCTTTTTAAAAGGAGAACCTGGAAATCTGGAATAACATGATGTCTCATACCTTTTAAATGTGGGCTCCAAATTTTCCCCAACTTCTTCCTTTTTTTTTTTTTTTGCCATGCTACACAGTGGTCGGGACCTTAGTTCCCTGACCAGGGATCAAACCTGTGCCCTCTGCAGTGAAAGCGCAGCCTTAACCACTGAACATCAGGGAAGTCCCTTCACCAACTTAAAAAAAAATTTTTTATTTTATTGAATTATAGTTGATTTACAATATCTTGTTAATTTCTGTACATCAGTGATTTAGTTATATATACGTATGTATATATTTATACATATATTCTTTTCATTATGGTTTATCACAGGATATTGAATATAATTCCCTGTGCTATCCAGTAGGACCCTGTTGTTTATCCATCCTACATATAATAGTTTGTATCTACTAATCCCAAACTCTCAGTCCTTCCCTCCCCTACCCCGCCCCAACTTTTTATTTTGAAAAAAAATCTTTTAAATCTTTTTTCTAGGTTTCTTGTTTGTTTCTTTCTTTGAGGTATAACTGACTACAAAAAACTACTTATTTAATGTACATATTTTGATGAATTTAGAATGAAAACAACTGCAATCTCCAGAAAAATTTAAAAAATAGTACAACAAGCACCTGTGTACCCTTCACCTGTATTCACCAGTAGACCGCAATTTTACCTCAACTTGCTATATCTGACCCTCTTTCCATGCATGCAAACATGCGTAGTGTTCACACACACGCAGATATGCACATTGCTTTTTTTGCGGACCCATTTGCAAATGAGTTGTAAATATTATGTTATTTGACCTGTAGATACTTCAGGGGGCATCTTCTAAAAACAAACTCCTGATAGCTATGATGCTTATTACTATCCCTAGAAAAAAATCAGTAATATCCCATAATATCATCTAATATACAGTCCATGCTGAAATTTCCAAATCGTTCCCCCCATATTTTTTTTTTTTAAGATCTGTTGGTTGATTGATTTTTGGCCATGCCAGGTCTTTGTTCTGCACAGGCTTTCTCTATTTGCGGTGAGTGGGGGCTTCTCTTCATTGTGGTGCTCAGGCTTCTCCATTTGGCAGTTTCTTTTGAAGTGGAGCACAGGCTCTAGGCTGGAGGGCTTCAGTAGCTGTGGCTCACTGACTCTAGAGCACTGGCTCAGTAGTTGTGGTGCTAATTGCTCTGGGCTTAGTTGCTCCAGGCATGTAGGATCTTCTCGGACCAGGGATAGAACCCATGTCCCCTCCATTGGCAGGTGGATTCTTAACCACAGGGAGGTCCCTCAAAATGTGTTTTATAATGATTTCTCCCTCCTCAATCTAGGGTCCTATGTTGCATTTGGTTGTGTCTCTGAGTCTCTCTCCTCTATTGTTTTTGGAAATTGAGTTGTATTTGATTAAATATTAAGTGTGTAGCTCTAAGAATTTTGACATATGTATACGTTATTTAACTACCATCAGATCAAAATACATTTTTTGTCCTTTTTTAACCCCAAATATGACACCTATCTTTTTCTTTGACTGCTCTGGGTTTTAGTTGTGGTGTGTGGGATTTAGTTCCCCAACCAGGGATCAAACCCAAGCCCCCTGTATTAGGAGCACAGAGTCTTTAGCCACTGGACTACCAGGGAAGTCCTCACTCATCTTTTTATTGTCTTTCATGACCCAGATATGTCTGAATGGATGACCTGCAGTTAGGGCTTGTTTGACATTTCCTCACGACTAGATTCTGGGGTTGCACTTCTGGAGGGGCTGTCATAGAAGAAAGCCTTCTTTATGGTCCAGCTCTCACATCCAGATGTGACTACTGGAAACATAGCTTTAACTAGACGGACCTTTGTTGGCAAAGTGATGTCTTTCCTTTTTAATACAACCTGTCTAGGTTCATCATAGCTTTCCTCCCAAAGAGCAAGCATGTTTTAATTTTGAGGCTATAGTCACCATCCGCAGTGATTTTGGAGTCTAAGAAAATAAAACTTTTCCCCCTTCTATTTGCCATGAAGTGATAGAACCGAGTGCCATGATCTTAATTTTTGGAATGTTGAGTTTTAAACCAGCTTTTTCACTCTCCTCTTTCACCCTCATTAAGAGGCACTTTAGTTCCTCTTCACTTTCTGACCTTAGAGCGGTATCATCTGTGTGTCTGAGGTTGTTGACATTCCTCCCGGCAATCTTGATTCCAGCTTGTGATTCATCCCAACAGAGGATGCCTGTGCTCTGTTGGCCCCGTACTGGTGATACTGACCTTGATCACCTGGTTAAGGTGGTGTCTACCGGGTCTCCCCACTATGAGTAAGTTATCTGTGGACCACACTTGGAGACCTTGTGTGCATCCATTTTTTTTTAAGTGGCCAAAGAAAGCGCATCTGTGGGTCAGCTCTCACGTTATGAGGTCCCCAGGTTGGAAGCTTTGGGTTTTGGATCTAAAAGAGGTCTTCAACCGACACACTTCCACTGTTGAGGGGGAGAGGATGTACCAGAGGAGGCTTGGATGGGTGCAGGTGTCTGCGATGGGACCCCAAGAGCACCCGTCTTCCTGCAGCTCCGGGACTGTGGAGGGCTGCGGGAGGTGGAGGTGACCGCCTGCCTGGTGTGGAAGGACTGGCCTCACCGAGTTCATCCCCACAGCCTCGTGGGGAAAGACTGCACAGACGGCGTCTGCAGGGTGCGGCTCCGGCCTCACGTCAGCCCTCGGCACAGGTACCTGACCCCTGACTCCTTGCGCTTGGTCATGGAGATTTTGAGGGGCCGAGGATCACCCCAGGAAACCTTAGGACTGGGGCAGCTTGACCAGACTCTCCCTGCTGCATTGCCTAGATGGGGAAACCAAGGTCTGGGAACAGTGGAGGGTCTCATTTAGGCCTGGAACCCTGCTGCATGCACATTCACATGCATTATATTTATCCCCATTTTGTAGAGAAGAAAACCACGGCTCAGAGAGGTGAAGGAGCCCAGATAGCCAATGGCAGAGCTGAGATTTGACTCCAGATCTGACTTAACTGCAAGGCCCATTCCTTCTTTCACTTTATAATTTATATGTTTTCAGTTTAAAAAAGTAAAAGGTTCAGAAAGGGTGTGCAGTGAAAAATAAATTTCTTTCCATCTTTGGTCCCCTAGTTACTAGTGCCCCTTCTTGGAGGCAACTAAAGATATGTATGCCTATATATATACATATATACACACACACACATACACACACATATATATATATTTGTCATTCCCTTATGAATGGTAGAGACATTTGCACCTTGTTTTTTGTTTTAGTACATCTGAGAGATAATTCCTATCAGTACATTTAGAACTGTCCTATCCTTTTTATTGGCTGCATAGTATTCCGATGCATGGATGTTAACAATTGATTGAATATGTCCTTATTAATGGGCACTCATTCCAATCTCTTGTTGCTTTGTTACTATTATTCAATGAATGGCTTCATATATACCCTTCTCTAGGATAAATTCCTAGAAATGAAATTGTTGGCCCCACATCTGTGCATTTATATTTTTAGCAATTTATAAACTTAATGAAAATGTAAGTTCTGTGAGAGCGGAGATTTTATCTCTTTTGTTCCCTGCTGTATCCCCCTGTTCCCTGTGCCTAGCACAGTCCCTGGCACACAGTAGGTGCTCAGGAAATCTTGGTGGAATGAATGAATACTGCTGTGTTGCCTTCTAGTACGTGATCACTCAGGTGATTTACAGTCCCTCCAGCAATGAGTGAGAGTGCCTGTTTCTCTACAACATCACTTACAGAGGGTATTATCCAGCGTTTTGATCTCTGCTGTTTTGGAGAGTTTTTTTTTTAAAACACTGATATCACATTTGAGTTTAATTGGCAGTTTTCTTTTTATAAATGAGGTCAACTGGTGCTTTCATGAGATAAAGATAAGGTGTGTTCCCAAGTTCTCTCAGGAATCCTCCATTCCCCTAAGGGTTTGAGCCCCAATCCTGTCCCGTGCTGGGAACCCTGGGCCTAGGGGGGCTTCAGCCTCTGAGGGTGTGAGCCCCACAGCAGCATCTGCCAGAGCCGTCTTGTGGGTCAGGGCTACACCTGCCCTCTCAGGAGTACCTCCCTTCACCCCTTCCCCCACTCAGCTTTAACAACCTGGGCATCCAGTGCGTGAGGAAAAAGGAGATCGAGGCTGCCATTGAGCGGAAAATTCAGCTGGGCATCGACCCTTACAACGGTGAGTCCCTGTGCCTAGCTCAGCATCTCATCCTCCTAAACTGCTCACCCTTCCGCCACCCTGTCCCCTCGCCTTTTCCAGTATCCACCATTGCCCCAGCCCCATCCCTTCCCTCTCCCCCATCCCCTTACTAGGGTCTCCACCACCCCCACTCAGCCTTCCTGTATCTCTCCCACAGCTGGGTCCCTGAAGAACCATCAGGAGGTGGACATGAATGTTGTGAGGATTTGCTTCCAGGCCTCATACAGGGACCAGCAAGGACAGATGCGCCGGATGGACCCTGTGCTCTCTGAGCCCGTCTACGACAAGAGTGAGTTGAGGGTGCTGTTCCATTAGGATTGTCTTTGGTTGCAAGTACTGGAAAGCCTCACACAGAATGTGTGAACAAACAGGGAATTCTTTTTTTTTTCTTCCTCAGTTATTAAGTCTGTTCCTATTGATTCAGCTGCTCAGCTATATCAGGGTGCTGGTTCAGTGGCTCTGTGATTCTCGTGGCCTTTCCCTCATGGTCATGAGCTGGCTGCCACAGCTCTGGACATCATATCTGTGTTCAAGATGGTGTGTGGGGTCACCCTGTATGGTGCCCACCTCTAGAGGTCAGCATTTACTAAGTAGCCTATGGCAACAGTGCCTTCTGGTATTGTAGAAAGCACAATCAGTACAACTATACGACGCAGTCCTTGGGAAGAGGCAGCATAAGTAATATCTCTCTCTTTTACAGAAAATGATACATTTCTCAGAATCACCCTGATAGGCATCTGCTTATGTCTCATTGGCCAGAACTTGGCTTCATGGCCATCTTTAGTTGCAAAGCAGTCTGAGAAAGCATGTATTTAGATTTTTCATCCTCTATAGAGGGGTACAGGCATAGAAGAGGATATTAGGAATGGCTGTTAGATTTTAGCCCACTTACAGTGACTGCCACAAGCATCAAAATGGGCAGGGAATATTAATTCTATCTGGGCTTTTATGGATGCAAGAGATAGAATCCCAACTCACATAAGGAAAAAAAAAAAAAAAAAGAATGTTAGTTCCATTAACTAAAAATATCCAGAGGTAATATAATGCTTCACGTTTGGCTTTATCCAGGCTCTCGGTGATGTCATTAGGGATCTATTTCTCTCTATCTCTCAGTCATGCTTCCTTCATGTTAGAGCCACTCTTAGCAGGGCCCTCCCAGGCGGGGGCAAAATAACTGTACAAAAGTCTAGTCTTATGTCCTACCAGCCTGGAACTTTTCTCTGGCTCCTGAAGAGAGATTCTTTTACCCAATTTCTTTTCTTTTTTTTTTTTTTTCCTGCATGCAGCCTTTCTCTAATTGTGGTGAGTGGGGGCTACTCTTTATTGAGGTGCGTAGGCTCTAGGCACTTGGGCTTCAGTAGGTGTGGCAAGTGAGCTTAGTAGTAGCGGCTCAAAGGCTCTAGAGCTCAGGCTTAGTTGCTCCGTGGCATGTGGAATCTTCCCATACTAGGAATTGAACCTGTGTCTGCTGCATCAGCAGGCAGATTCTTATCCCCTGTACCACCAGGGAAGTCTTACCCAATATTTTTGCTCACATCCTCCTCTCTGACCAATCATCTGTGGCCAGGAGGAGGCGATGCTTTGATTGGCCAGGTCTAGGGCACGTGGTCACCACTTGGCTACCAGTGGGCTTTGACCTGTCCAATCCCCATGACAGAGATGGGAGCTTGCTAGACCTCAGAGCGGAGGACTCATGAATTTCCACTAACCCCTCCACCCCAGGCATCTTCTTTTTCCACCTGCACCACAGGTTCCAAAAATATCAGACACCCTGGCTTGTCCATTTCCCAGCTCTCCAACCCCGAGTGGGCACCCATGGGGTTCCTGGTAAGGATTTAATGACTGAATTCTTTTTTCTTTTCCCCTTTGTGTGTCTTCCTCTCCTCTTTCCCAGAGTCTACAAACACGTCGGAGCTACGGATTTGCCGAATCAACAAGGAGAGTGGGCCGTGCACGGGTGGTGAGGAGCTCTACCTCCTCTGCGACAAGGTGCAGAAAGGTGAGGGGCCTGGGGCGGTGAGCGGGCAGAGTGGGGTCTGACGCTTGCAGAGAGGGAGACGGTGAGGGGTAGCTGGTTAACCAGGGGAGCCTAGGAGAAGGGTCCAGAGCTCTGGTTTCAGATATTGCCCATTGATTCACTCTCTCACTGAGTCACCCAGCCACACACCCACTCACTCATTCATGAACAGAGAACGAAGCCTGTTTATACCGGCCAGCGTTGAGTGCTGGGAAGACCTTGGCATCAGGAACTTTGGGGAACTACTCTGGTATTAAAATCGTGGAGTTGTATAAATAAATGCTGACAGTTGGGTCGGAGCTCCAGATGGAGAAAATGGAGGAGGTTTCCATTTGAGTCACGTCCATTCAAATGTCAAAACCCCTTTCTCAAACAGGGTTTTTAAAAATTTTACTATTTTTTCATTTTTGGCTGCCCTGGGTCCTTGTTGCTTTGTGTGGGCTTACTCTAGCTGTGGCGAGCAGGGGCCACTCTTCATTGCGATGCACAGGCTTCTCATTGCGGTGGCTTCTCTTGTTGCAGAGGACAGGCTCTAGGCGCACACATGCTTCAGTAGTTGGAGCACGCGGGCTCCATAGTTGCGCCATGCGGGCTCTGGGGCACTGGCTCAGCAGTTGTGGTGCACAGGCTTAGTTGCTCCACAGCATGTGGGGTCTTCCCAGATCAGGGATCGAACTCATGTCCCCCTGCATTGGCAGGTGAACTCTTATCCATTGTGCCACCAGGGAGGTCTGCGTTTTGGGGCTTTTTTTTTGAACGAGTAAATGGTTATTGGGTGGCTCCTCTATGCTGGCCCCTGTGCTAGGCAGTGCTGGGACATAGCAGTGACTGAGACATGTCCAAACTCTGCCCTCACAGTGCTCTCAGTTCAGTGAGAGGTAGGGAAAGAAATACAAATTATAAATATGCATAATGCTGATAGGGAAGAAGACATAATACTGAGACTGAACAACAGGAAGACCAGACATGGTCCAGGCATCTGGGAAGGCTTCCTGGAGGAGGTGATAATTGAGCTGAGATCTGAGGAAGGCCAAGGAGAATTGGGGTTAGGGTAGAAAAACTGATCCTGCCCTGGGTGAATGATTCAAGGTAGATGTGAGTTCTATTCCATCATTGACTCACTGGCTGATTTTGGCCAGGTGACTTTACTACCCTGAGCCAGTTTCCTCAACCCCTAAAATGAGCTGGTATTAAGATGAGATGGGGGGAGGGGGGATCAGGATGGGGAACACATGTAAATCCATGGCTGATTCATGCCAATGTATGGCAAAAACCACTACAATATTATAAAGTAATTAGCCTCCAACTAATAAAAATAAATGAAAAAAAAAAGATGAGATGGGATCCCAAGTACCTAAGAGCTACATCACAAAGAGTTAGCATTTACTGAGGATTTTCTGAGTTCCAGACCTGGAGCTAATATTTTGCATAATGCTTATAAAAGCCATCATACTTAACAAGGATTGATCACCTATTATGTTAAGTCCTCTTCTAAGCCTTTTTATTGGAATGACTCATTTAATCCTCCTAACAAGTCCTATGAGGTGAGTGCTAGACTTTCCCTCTTTAGGGTGATGACACTGGGCCCAGAAATATCAGTAACTCCCCCCAAGTCCTAGGAGCTAGTGCTGAAGAGCTCCCATCTTGGATTTCCATCTTGGCTGCACCACTTCTTGACCATGTGACCTTGGACAAGTGGCTTAATCTCCTGGTGCCTTTGCTTTCTCCTCAATATCATGGGATTCCTAGAATTGTTGTATGTCTTACAGGTAATCTGTGTGTGTCCAACACATATAAAGCCTCAATATATACACATATATATGGGCTTCCCAGGTAGCGCTAGTGGTAAAGAACCTGTCTGCCAATACAGGAGACGTGGGTTCGATCTCTGGATTGTAAAGATCTCCTGGAGGAGGAAATGGCAATCCACTCTAGTATTTTTGCCTGGAGAATCCCATGGACAGAGGAGCCTGGTGTGCTACTATTCATAGGAGTCAGACATGACTGAAGTGACTTAGCATGCATGCACGCATAATTAGTTTTTTTTTTTATTATTTTCTTTATAATTAGTTTTATTCTTAGAAATACTGGTGTTGATTTTTGGGGAGGCTGAGTGAGTTGGGTCTCTGGTGGACCAAGTGTCTTGGCTCAGCTGATGCCCCCACTTTCCTGCCAGAGGATATATCGGTGGTGTTCAGCAGAGCCTCCTGGGAAGGCCGGGCTGACTTCTCCCAGGCCGATGTGCACCGCCAGATTGCCATTGTGTTCAAGACACCACCCTACGAGGACCTGGAGATTGTTGAACCTGTGACAGTAAACGTCTTTCTGCAGCGGCTTACCGATGGGGTCTGCAGTGAGCCTCTGCCCTTCACCTACCTGCCTCGGGACCATGGTAACCACGGCAACCCAGGGTGACCCACTGCCCCAGAGACCAGGTCTTTGGCCTTACTTGGGGTGACCCAAAAGGAAAGGGGAAGAGGCAGAAGTAGAATGTGAGCTCCGAGTTGCACAGACTGGGGTTCAAATCCTGATCTGCTTACTGGCTTATGTGACCTTGGCTTTTCCTAGTCTCAGACTCCTCCTGTGCAAAATGGAAATAACAGTACCCATCTCTTGATATTTTGGGATTATTTAATGATTTCTCCTCTCAGCACAGCTGCTCATGCCTGGGCCTCTGCTGGGAACATAGTGGTACCAGAGACAGCCCCAGCCCTGTGCTATGAGGCTCATCGTCCTATGGAGGTGGGGGGATGAGGGGGAACAGATCCATTCCCATACAGGGACAGCCAGAGTGGGCAGGGCTGGGATGGAATTGCTTACAGAATTCGGCTTGCAGAGTAGGACAACTGACCCAGCCTTAGAGTTCAGGGAGGGTTTCCTGGAAGAGGGGGCAGTTGACCTGAGGACAGGAGGGTGACTAAGCAGTTTTCCAGGGAAGTGGTAAGAGTTGAGGAAGAGTGTTTTAAGCAGCTGGAACAGCAAGTGCAAAGGCCCTGAGGCAGAATCATGCCTGGGATGTTCCAGTGTGGTTAGAAGTGGATTTGGGTTTTATTCTAAGATATGGACATCTATATACATTGGTTGGGAAAAAGCCAGAACAGCTCAACAACTTCCCAAACGGTTTCTATAATTCTTATTTTTCATGGGTTATTTTTTATGCCTCTGGTATCTCCTGAACAGACAGCTACGGCGTGGACAAGAAGCGGAAACGGGGGCTGCCTGACGTCCTTGGGGAGCTGAATAGTTCCGGTGTGTCCCCTCTGCACTTTTTGATGTCCCTCTCCAGGTCCCTGGGAGGGGTTGACTGACCCCACCGCCCTGCCCACTCCCCCAAGTTGGGGAGGAGGGGCTGGTGGGATCCAGGGGTCCTCATCTTTGCCTTCCTTTAGATCCCCATGGCATTGAGAGCAAACGACGGAGGAAAAAACCAGTCTTCCTGGATCAATTCCTGCACAGCCATGGCTCAGGTGGGTATTGGTTCAGTGCAAGCCCCTGCCCTCAAGGTGGGCTGAGGTGGGGGCTGTAGCCCCGCTTTTCTAGCCTCTCCAGGCCCCCCAAGAACTCCTACATGGCCGGTGCCTCACCACTTAACCAGCAACATAAAGTGGAAAGAATAGTGGCTCTGGACACAGTCCAGAGGCTCTGATCTCCACTTGGCCATGTACATGCTGTGTGACCTTCATCAAGTTGCTCTACCTCTCAGAGCTTCAGGGCTCCTCTGAAAAGTATCACCACATACCTACCTCATTGGCCCTTTAAATATTACTGTATTTATTTTTACAGACACTCTGAGCATAACTGCTTTGTGTGTGTTCACTTAATCTGTGCAGTCCCTCTGGGGGGTGGGGGGTGGGTGCTGTCATCTCCTCCCATGCCCCAGTCCCATTTTACTGGTGAAAAACTTGAGGCCCAGAGAGGTGACATCTCTTGCCCAAGGTCACACAGCCAGTCCGTGGTGGAGCTAGGAGTTACATCTGGGCAAAAGTTTATTTACTTATTAATTTATTTAAATTTTTAATTATTTAATTAGGCTGCATTAGGTCTTAGTTGCATGTGGAATCTTCAGTCTTCTATTAGTTGCGGCATGTGAACTCTCAGTTGCGGCATGTGGGATCTATTTCCCTGACCAGGGATCAAACCCAGGGCCTCTGCATTAGGAGCATGGAGTCTCAGCCACTGGACCACCACCCATGGGCCTAGGTTTAGATTAGTGATGATACATATGAAACCAGTAGTAGGGGGTAGATGATGGATAAATAGAAGTGGTGTCAGAGCTAGCCAGCCTTGAATTCAGTCACCCTCTGACCTCTTCTACCACGGCCTTCATCTCAACTCACATGCCAGCCTCTAGATCCCCTGAACCATAACCCTGTCTGGCTGCTAGCCAAAGCCTCCCCACTTGCTGACCGCTAGCTCTAAGAACGCTGTCCCCAGCACCCCAGCTACCCCAGGAGCCCAGCTCCCAGTCAGCTCCCAACCAGAATCTGCTGGAGTTGTCAATCTCAGCCAATCTCACCCAAAGGTTTCAAGTGTTATCTGTTGTCCCCCCAACCCCTCTAACCAACGCCCAAGACCTCTGCCCCTAGAAACCCCCAGTCCTAGTCCATCTCACCAAACTTCAACCCTGAATCCCTGAAATCGCTCATCATTAGCCATTTAGTAATTCTTTCGCCTGCTCCATCACCCCAATTTCCAAGTATTTAAAGTTCCCCTTTCTCATTCCTGTGGCAAGGCTGCCCTGGCACTAGAGTGGAATGGTTAGGAGCCTGGCCTCTGCAATCAGACTGGGTTTGAATTCAAGGCCACAATTTAGCCACTGTGTGATCTTTTTTTAAAAAAATATTTATGGCTGCATCAGGTCTTAGTTGCAGCATGTGGGCTGTTTGTTGAAGTACAAGGTCTTCTCTCTAGCTGTGGTGTGTGGGGGGTCTAGAAATGTATTTGTGGTGCATGGGCTTAGTTGCCCTGAGGCATGTGAGATCTTAGTTCCTGAACCAGGAATCAAACCTGTGCCCCCTGAATTGGAAGGTGGATTCTTAACCACTGCGCTGGGGAGTCCCAATGCAACCTCTTTGGGCCTCACTTTACTTAACTTGCAGATAGAGATCTTCCTTTTTGGGGTTCCTTCCAGAATTTAGTGAGGCCACAAGGCACAGTTACTTAGTACAGGATTTGGTGCCCAGGAGATGTTAGGAACTTGCCGGAAACCAGGAATGCCACCTGTATTTGTTATGATCATGTTTAACTGCATTCACAGCAAAACCTCAAATAACAGGAGCTTCAATAGGATAGGACATTATTTCTCCTCTCACATTAACACAGTCCAGGGGTGGGTGGTCCACAGATGGTTTGGTGGCTGCATGATCATCGGCGACCCAAGCTCCTGCCATTTTCAGCTCATAATTTCCACCTTATGATGCAGAATGGCTATTGCAGCTCCAGCCATCATGCCCACATTTCAGCCAGCAGCACTTGGTTACATGTCCACATGAAGCTACAAGGGAAGCTGGGAAATAAGAGTTCCAGCAGCACTCTGACTCCTTCTAAAATAAGTGTAGTCAGTCTTTGCTGGTGAGGTTTGTCTTGTCTCAAAAAGACTTCCACAATAGCACTTACCATTTTACCTTACAATTTTGGGACTTGATATTTCTCCTTGGGTCTCCCATGCTGTGGAGATTTCACCTTTTGGGTTGTCTTTAAATGCTGGGGGGCTTTGGAGGATCCTTTTCTTCCTCATTCTTAAGGAAAACCCACTAGCATTATAGGAGCACAGTTTCAACCCTGGTTCCACAACTCACCTGTGGACTGCAAGTTATTTTGCCTGTTTGCTTATTAAATAAGAATGATTCTTAGTTTTTTGAGGAACTTCCAAACTGTTTTCCACACACCAATTTACCCTCCCACCAACAATGTATGAGGGTTCTCTTTTCTCTACATCCTCACCAGCACTTGTTATTTATGACTTTCTGATGATAGCCATTCTGACAGGTGTGAGGTAATACTTCATTGTGGTTTTTATTTGCATTTCTCTGATGATTAACCATGTTGAGCATCTTTTCATGTGACTGTTGGCCAACTGCATGTCTTCCTTAGAAAAATGTCTATTCAGTTGCTCTGCTCATTTTTTTAGTTGGGGTATTTGTTTATTTAATATCGTATGAGCTGTTTTTATTTTGGACATTAACCCTGTATTGGTCATATCATTTGCAAATACCATATGACCCAGCAATTCCACTCCTGAGTGTATATCCAAAACAAACAAACAAAATGAAAACACTAATTTGAAAAGAGACATGTACCTCAGTTCATAGCACCATTGTTTACAATAGCCAAGAAATGGAAGTAACCTAAGTGTCCTTCAATAAATGAATGGATAAAGATGTGGTGTATATATATATACAATGGATTACTGCTGCTGCTTAGTCGCTTTAGTCGTGTCCGTCTGTATACGACCCTATGGACTGCAGCCTGCCAGGCTCCTCTGTCCATGGGATTCTCTAGGCAAGATTCCTGGAGTGGGTTGCCATGCCCTCCTCACAATGTATTACTACTCAGTCATAAAACTGTAATTTGCAACAACATGGATGGACTTAGAGAGTATTATGCTTAGTGGCAGAGAAAGACAAATACTGTACAACTTATATGTGGAGGCATAAAAAAAGTGAATATAACAAAAAAGAAATACTGACAGATATAGACAACAAACTAGTGGTTATCAGTGGGAAGAGGGGAGGGGGAGGGGAAATACAGGGATGGGGATTAAAAGGTACAAATTACGATGTATAAAATAAATCAGCAACAGGGACAGGGAATACAGCACTGGGAATATAGCCAATATTTTATAACAACTATAAGCAGAGTATGGGCTTCCCTGGTGGCCTGCATGGTAAAGAATCCACCTGCAATGCAAGAGACCTGGGTTCAGTCCCTGGGTTGGGAAGATCCCCTGGAGAAGGGAATGGCAACTCACTCTAGTATTCTAGAAGGGCAATGCCCTTCTAGTATTCTTGCCTGGAGAATCCCATGGACAGAGGAACCTGGTGGGCTACAGTCCATGGGGTGGCCAAGAGTCAGACACAACTGAACGATTAAGCACACACGCATAAGTGGAGTATAACCTTAAATAATTGTGAATCACTATGTTGTACACCTGAAACGTATAATACTGTCCATCAACTATACCTCAAAAAAAATTATTATAAATTAAAAAAAGAGAGAAAGAACGGTGGTAGTCCCTACTCAGAGTTCTCCCTGGCTTTAATAGGAGGCCACATGATAAAGTATTTAGCCATGGACCCGGCATTTGACCTGGCGGGAGGTCGATCGTAAAAGCTCACCATGCTTCCTTCTTTCTCCTCATCCCTGCAGGACCGTACCTCCCACCGTCAGTGCTGCTACCGGACACAGACTTCTTCCCGGGCACCGTATCCCTCCCTAGCCTGGAACCCCCCGGCGGGCCGGACCTCCTGGACGACGGCTTTCCCTACGACCCCGCTGCCCCAACGCTCTTGACCATGCTGGACATGTTGCCCCCAGCGCCACCACTCACCAGCGCTGTCGCGGGCAACGGCGGTGCAGGGGCTGCGGTCGGGGAGCCCCCCGGCCCTGAGTCGCTGACGCTGGACTCGTACCAGGCCCCGGGCCCCGGGGACGGAGGCACTGCCAGCCTCGTGGGCAGCAACATGTTCCCCAACCAGTACCGTGAGGCCAGCTTTGGGGGTGGCCTCCTGTCCCCGGGCCCTGAGGCCACGTAGCCCCGCGGCGCTGGAGGAGAGGCGCTGGGTGGGGAGGGAGGTGGTCTTCCAACCAGGATACCCAGCACCCCCATCCCCTGGGGCGGCCCTTGGTCAGTCTTCCAACGTCCTCGTCCTTCTGAATCGGACATCTTCAGCGCTGGGGAGAAACTCCGTAGCACCGGTTTCTCCTGAGCTCATTTTACAAATGAGAAAACTGAATCTGGAGAGGAAAGGGGGCTTGGCTCTCAAGCACTAGCTTGTTAAAGCTGCTGTCTCAGCCCCCACAAGCAGGGGCACCTTCTCCAGGGGGATTCTGTTGTGTATATATGGGGGGAGGGTGCAGATCCCCCATCCTCCTTCCCCAAGCTTGAAGGTGGGGGGGGTAGGTTGTTTGTTCAGAGTCTTCCTAATAAAGATGAGCTTTTGATCCCTGGGGGTCTCGTCTCTTCGCTAGAGAAGCAACCCCCGCCCTTACGTACGAAGTCTCCAAGCTCTCTGCCTACGTCCCTCCGATTTCTTCAAGCCCCGCCCTTCCGCTCACTCTCTAGTCCAACCTAGTTCCCGCCCCTCGAGTAGGCGGAAGCGCCTCTGCAGCTCCCAGCCCCGTCACTCAGCCTCCCACTTCCGCTTCCGGTTCGGGTCGCGCGCGAGCGCAGCGGTGGGAGGCGGCGACGAGCCGGTGAGTTCGGGCAGTGGGTGACCTGCTGGCCTCGGGCGGACGTCAGCCCGGCTTCGCCCTTGCCTCGGCTTCTCCGCGGTCTACTGTGAGACTCCGCTTGGCCCGGGCCCCGAGGGCCGCCAGCCCCGCACCCCTTCGGCCTGCCGTGCCTCAGGCCGCGCCCTGCCTCCGCCGTCGGCCAGAACTCGCCGCGTCGGACCTTGCCGCTTGCCACAGGTCCCGCCCCCTTGTCAGAAAAACTTAGCCCGATCCCTCAGGCCCAGAGCGGGTGCTCGAGCCCTGTCCTCCAGGCTTGCCCCTAAACGCAGCCCACCCCCTCCTGTCAGCTCGCTCCGCCTCCCTCAGCCTCTGTACCCTCCCCCCGCCCCCAATTTAGATTCCTGCTTTAGACCTCAGCAGCGCTCCGTTCTTTTCTTCCGGCGCTGCCTCCTCCCCCCCCTCCTCCCGCAAGCGTCGGGAGGACATCCACCACCATCCACGCCCTTCACCTGCCCTCGACCCCCACCTCCCCACCACTACCCTTTTTCTATAAAAACTTTCTCCTCTTCGTCCACCTGCCTTCATCCCCAGACCTCTGGTACCCAGACCCCCTCCACCCCCACGATGGCCCCTGGTGGGCGCCGTTTCAGCCTTTCCTCTCCCTTGAGCTCCCAACCTCAGCTGCTCATGGTCTTCCTCCAGACCTTACTTCAAACACTCACTCCTTCCATCCTTGAACCTTTCATCCTTGGTTCCTCCTCATTAAACACAGGATACCTCTTTCCCTGGGCTGCTCACTCCAGAATCAGCGGGAGTGGGGGTGGGGGATTCAGAATGCCCAGGGTACTGGGTCAGACTTGCCCGGGATCCACCAGAGTGTATCCTGCTGCACGGCTCTGCAGCCTCACTTCCCCTCCCTGAAGCTGATGTTCAGGATTAATTCTGTCAACTTGTTAGGTGACGGTGATCCTGCCCGTATTTTTTTTTTTAAAAAGCCCGTCTGACACCCCTTCCCTCATCCCTCAGGTTGAGGCCCCAGCCTTGGCCTCACCACAATGTGGCACGAGGCTCGGAAACATGAGCGGAAACTTCGAGGCATGATGGTCGACTACAAGAAGAGGGCAGAGCGGCGCAGGGAGTACTATGAAAAGATCGTAAGTGACCTTTAATCTGGGTTGGGAGCTCCATGAGAGGGCAGAGCCCTGGTTAATCCTGGTACCACTGAGGCTTGGAAATACGCTAAGAGGGGATATCCGTTTCCTCAAGAGAATGTCCATCTTTTGAGCATAATGATGTGCTGTGCTGTGCGGTGCTGAGCTAAGTCTCTCAGTCCCATCCAGCTCTTTTCCACCCCGTGGACTGTAGCCCACTGGGCTCCTCTGTCCATGGGATTCTCTAGGCAAGAATACTGCAGTGGGTTGTCATGCCCTCCTCCAGAGCATAATCATTGGGGTGGGGGGTGGGGGAACTGAGGTATTTTGTTTATTGTCGCATGCTGTGCTGTCTGGTGTGGACTCAGAGTACAGAACTGGTGTTGGCAGGAAGGAGGGAAGTCTTTGTAGCACTCCAGACATAAGATTGGCCACCTCCAGAATGTTGTCGGTCTTGCTTATTCCTGTGTTCACAGTGCCTAGAGGAGCTCAGCCCTTCTTCAGATTTAACTTGGCACCCGCAAGGAGTGCCACCAGTATTCACTAAGTGAATTCTGACCATTTCTCCTGTTAGATGCTTCAGTTGCTTTTGGAAAGAAGAGCACACTCCATCTTGTGACCTAAATGGCCCTTGTGTTCTGGCCTCTCAGCTTCATCCTGAGGTCGCGCCATTGGCCTTTTTTTCCACCTCTGCCACCACTGGGTATTGAGCCTGTAATGCCTCCTCTTTGCTCCTTAACTTGTTACTTGTTCTTGAGACCCGAGCTTGAAATGGCATTGGCATATTAGGTTCTGATCTTCTGTGAGATGGTATTTATTTAGACGTTTTCATTTACTACTGCATCACTGCTGCAGGCTCCTCCCTGGTGTTCTGGCTTCCAGTCCTGCCGCCTCTAATCCACCCTCCTCAGAGAGGCCAGAGAGGTTTTTTTTTTTTTAAATAAAGGATGAAATTAGTGTTATTTTTTTAAAAATATTTACTTATTTGGCTGCATGGGTCTTAGTTGTGGCATGAGAGATCTAGTTCTCTGACCAGAGACCGAACGAACCTGAGTTCCCTGCATTGGGAGTGTGGAGTTTTAATTGCTGGACCAGTAAGAAAGTCCCCAGAGAGGTCTTTCTAAAGCACAAAGCTGACTCTGTCCCTCCCTTACTCAGAACTTCTCTGTGACTCCCTAGTGCCAGGCTCCTCATGACAGCCTTTAAGACCATCCATGGCCTGGCTTTTACCACCTCCTACAGACTCATGCTACTCTGCTTTCTGCCTTATTCCTTTGCTCACGTCATCTGGCCTCCCTACTATCTGGGGCTACTTTTTCTAGCCGAAAAAGGTTCGTAAAGAGCTCCCGGTTTACCTCCCAAAATTGTATAGTTCTCTCTAGCCATAGGGGCTTTTCGTGAGCTTTTCCTCTACTAGGTTAGCTCCTGCTAATCTCTCAGATCTCAGTCCTCAGGGGAGTCTTCCCTCATCCTTCATACTCAATCAGTGTCCCCTATAAATGCCATTATAGCTTCTTGTTTTTCCCCTTTGTGGCATTTAACACAAATTTTCAGCTCTGTGAGACTGGGGACTATGTTTATTTGGGTCATGCTACTGCTTTCCAAGCTTGAGCCCAACGTGATTTAAAAGACTAGGTGAATAAAACAATAATAATAGCAGTTGCCATTTTAATTGATCCTTCTCAGGCTCCAGGCTCTGTGAGGAGAACTTCAGATGTATGATTTCTTTGAGTCCCCACAATCACCCATGAAGCAGAGGCTGCTGTTATCCTAGGAGACGAATCTCTGAGGGCCCTTCTCTAGTGGTGTCGGAATAATTATGACGTGACCATAAGGGCAGAGCCTGGGTCTTGTTGGTTATAGTTGAGGCCCTAGCAGTGGGCCAAGAACGCTATCAGTGCTCAGGGCTGAATAACCGCCACTTATTAAGGGTTCGGGGTGTGCCAGACCCCATGCCTGCTACTCTGGCACATTGTTTCTAGTCCTTTCAGCAGCCCTGAGATGGGTGTTGGTCCCTGTGTTAAAGGTTTGCTGATAACAGTAGTTAATGCTATTGAGCATTTGTGTGTTCAGCACTGTGCTGAGTGCTTGACATGCGCCTCTGTTTCATCATATCTTCACTGAAGACAGATGTTTATTTCCTTTTTGCCTAAAAGCCCACAGGTGGCTAGTCCTGCTCAGGGAATTGTTATTCATCCGTGAGTGGCTTCTCTTGCCAGTGTTTTCTTAAGGTCTACAAGGGCTGCTCAAACTCTAGCCATCATGTCTTTATATTCCATTCAGCAGGGAGGAAGAAGGGAGGGGAAAGAGGCCAGTGGGTTCTTGTCAGTTGTTAAGAAAGTTTCTAAATGTTTGCACGTGATACATCCACTCGTATCCGCGTGACCTGAAAGTAGCCCCTGGTCACATACAGCTGCCGGGAAAGCTGAGAGGCATACCTTGTGTTCTGGGGGGCCTTGTGCCGGTTATGTTAGGAGTCTTATTACTGTGGAGGAAGGGGCAGTGGATGTTGGTTGCCAACTAACGGGCTATCACAAATGCTGGGGATAGGGGCACCTCCCTCCCAGGTTATCGGAGTATTCGGTGAGATTGGGCACAGAGACTCCCGAGGGCTGACCTGCCCAGGATAACTTGCTCAGTAAATGCCAGCTCTTCTTGGTGCTTAGGTTATTATTACAAAGTAGAGCTGGAATCACATCCAGGTGGATGGATGGAGTGGAGGAAAGAAGGCTGGAGTGGGGTCACTCAGAAGGCCTGGGTCTCCAGGCTCTCGTCCGTGTGAGCCAGAGAGCTCTCTGAGCTTTGTTTTCCCCCTTGGGATGGTGGTGATGACCAGCCCCTCTCACTCGGTGACAGGGAAGAACTTTAAGAATAGAACAGTGTCTGTGGGGTGCGTTGTGGTGCAGGCCTGTACAAGCAGCTATTGTCCCCGAACATGAACGTGATCAGCATTCAGATCAGAGCCACCAAGCTGTGGATGGTGGCGGCTTTGAGGAGAGGATGGGGCTGTCACATGGGTCTCTCATCTTATTCTCCACCCTAGAGAGGCAGCTGAGGCCAGTGTTGAAGAAGCAGAGGTCGGCTGTGGCAGACTGGGCCGGTGTGTCCAGACAGCTGATTTCTCTTCTCCTGATGTGTCCTTGGTGCCTGCTGTCTCTCTCTTCCTGTCCCTGGTTCCGTCATTGTTCCTGTCCCTGTCGACTTGCTTC